CATGCACTCCTCCAACTTTTGCATATTTATTTAGTTACAAATTATATACTGCTCTACTAAGGTACTAATACAATACATGTAATTTGAAACATTCATACATGCTCACAAATTTTTTTTTGCTCTCAAAGAGTAAAGATTTAATTCATGTTTTGGTGCTTAGTTTCTAAATGTCTTGCTAATGTTGATGGCTTTATATCAGTAGTAACTCTCAAAGCACTGTACATTTACAGCAAGGTCTATAAATCCTTATTTCAAACAGTTTTGATAATTTTATTTTTTTCTGATATCTTACAGATTTAAGTGACCATGATATATATATGTATGATATATATATACACACACACACACACACATACATACTTTTGTTTTAAGTATATAATGTAACTAATAAAGAGTTGAGTTTTTTGGTTTTTGTTTTTTTTCTGAGACAGAGTCTCACTCTGTCACCCAGGCTGAAGTGCAGTGGTGTGATCTTGGCTCACTGCAGCCTTGACCTCCCATGCTCAGGTGATCCTGCTACCTCAGCCTTCTGAGTAGCTGGGACTACAGGCATGCGCCACCGCGCCACCACACTTGGCTAATTTTTATCTTTTCTGTAGAGACAGGGTTTCACTATGTTGCCCAGGCTGGTCTTGAACTCCTGAGCTCCAGCACTCTGCCCACCTTGGTCTCCTGAAATGCTGGGATTACAGGCAGGGTTTCACTACATTGCCCAGGCTGGTCTTGAACTCCTGAGCTCCAGCATTCTGCCCACCTTGGTCTCCTGAAATGCTGGGATTACAGGCAGGGTTTCACTATGTTGCCCAGGCTGGTCTTGAACTCCTGAGCTCAAGCACTCTGCCCACCTTGGTCTCCCGAAATGCTGGGATTACAGGTAGGAGCCACCATGCCCGGTGTAAAGGGTTTTTTTTTTTTTTTTTTTGAGTTGGAGTCTCACTCTGTTACACAGGCTGGAGGAGAGTGGCATGATTTCGGCTCACTGCAACCTCTGCCTCCCAGGTTCAAGCGATTCTCATGATTGAGCCTCCCAAATAACCGGGACTACAGGTGCCTGCCACCACAGCTGGCTAATTTTTGCATTTTTAGTAGAGACGGGGTTTCACCATGTTGGCCAGGCTGGTCTCGAACTCCTGACCTCAAGTGATTCACCCACCTTGGCCTCCCAAAGTGCTTGGATGCCTGGCCAAAACCCTATACTTTAGATGAGTAGAAGGCAGAGTAGAAAGAAGATGAGTCAAAGATTAGCAGAAATTACTTGAAGGATAGTGTGCCAATGAACTAAAGGGAAAATTTAAAGGATGAACAAGGTTTAGAAGGAAAATAAAACTTGTTTTCCAACACATTGAATCTGAGGTACTATGAGAGTCATTGAAGCTGTCCCTGAGGTATATGAAAATCAGAGGACCATGAGAAGCCAGGTTGCACATGTGGATCAGGAGTGATAGTTGAAGTCAACTTACAATTTAGTTTTGCTAAGAAGAGAAATAGGCAAAAGAGAAACTTGAAAAGCGCTTTTAAAAAGGGGCTTTGAGAAAGCAAGAGGAGTCTTCGGAGATGCATGAGAAAGGTAAGAGGAGAGATTTGAATAAAGCAAATATTTCAAGGAAGATGCACAGCCAAGAAGGATAAAGCTAAGATAAATACGTTGAATTTGGTAATTTAGGATGTGGCCCTCATTTGAAAGAGTGGTTTAAATAAAGTAGTAGGGACATAAGTTAGTTTTCACGTAAAGAACTGACAAGTAGTTAAAATAAACTTTTTTTAAATGGGGAAAGTAACCACAAACTGTTCCTTCAGAAGTGTGGTGGTGAAAAAAGAGAGATTGTGTGTGGTGCATTAAGGAAGATAGGATGCATTTGGCAAACAATGAAGAGAGATAAATTAAAGGTAGAAATAAGGAAGGTGAACTTAGGAGACCAGATTCTCAATGAAATGATATTGATATAATCATAGACACAGGTGAGAGTGACAGTTTTGGGAAAGGGGAGGAGGAATTTTTCTTTGAATCAGAAGGGAAAAGATAAAGTGTAGCAGTTTGTTTTAAAGTAATACATAGGGCTGGCGTTGTGGCTCATGCCTGTAATCCCAGCAGTTTGGGAGGCCGAGGCAGGTGGATCACCTAAGGTCAGGAGTTCGAGACCAGCCTGGCCAGCATGGTAAAACCCCGTCTCTATTAAAAATACAAAAATTAGCCAGGTATGGTGGTGCACACCTGTAGTCTCAGCTACTCAGGAGACAGGCAGGAGAATCGCTTGAACCTGGGAGGCAGAGGTTGCAGTGAGCCAAGATCACACCACTGCACTCTAGCTTGGGTAACACAGTGAGACTCCATATCAAAAAATAAAAATAAAAATAAAAATAGAAGTAATGCACAGGTTGAGAGAGTTTCTGTCAGATGGTTTCTGTCTCTCTCTTTTTAAAATATTATTAAGGTGTGAGGTAACCTGCTGAGCATTAGTAAACATTCTGGATAGCTCAGGGGTAAGGAAATAAACATGGAGCCACTAACTAGTTTTTAGCAGGAAATGACATTATCAGATTTTAATTTAAGAAAGTTCTGTCTGGTAAGAGGTATGGCAGAATGTCAGTAGGATTGGATTTTGAGTGACCTGAGAAAGATGAGTAAAAGGATAAGAAGTGCAGGCAAGAAATCATCCCTTAACCAAGGTAACAGCAAGTGGATAGAAAGGGGGCAACACAGTTGACAGTTATTTAGAAGGAAGCAAGAATGACTCAAACACTTGCTTGGATAGCTGGGTTAATGGCAAAAACTTAGGCATAAAGGTTGAAAGTAGATAAAGGAGAAGGAAGGTGATGAGTTTGTTTAGGAAATGGTAAGTATTAGGCACCTGAAGCATATCCTAGTAGAGAGATCCAGTAGGCAGGTGATTCTTACAGCATGAGGATAGATAAATATGGACTGACATAATCAGGTGTGTGTGTGTGCGTGCATGCGTGCATGTGTGTGTGTATAAGGCAACTGATCCCATGGCAGTGGTGGGACCACAAATAATGGCTAAGTGATCCTAAGATCACTTAAAAACAGCAAGAAATGGGCTGAAAACAGAGTCACTGCTCTGTTTTAGATGGATACCAAATAAGGAAGAATGGTCAACAATGTCAGGTGCCACAGAATGGTCCAGGAAGATAAGGCATATAAAGTGTCCCTTGGATTTAACAAGTGGTCATACCACACAGTCTTGGTGAAGAACAACGAAGTGGCTGAGGGGAGAATGCTAATTGAGCCAGTGAAGGCAGAGAGTCAACACTGCTCTTTCTAGATGTTTGCAAGAGGAGGAAAGACTTGACCAAGTAAACACACAGGAAGAGTGTCCATGGGTGTTTTTCATATAAAAACAAATTCTTTTGGAGGAAGGCAAACAGCAAGGAGATAGGAAGAACTGGAAGACACTGAAAAAGGATGATTTGCATAGGGATAACTGATGGAGGAATCAACATCCTCAAGAAAGGAGGACAAGAAAAGATTCAGAGCAGAGGTAGAGAGATTGGCCTTAAACTTGAGAGAAGAAAAAGGAGGTTCACAAGCTATTTACAACATTTCAGAAAGCCTTCTGGAAATTGCAATTAATAGAATGTCAAGTTTCTTTACTTTTTGCACGCATTAACTCAACCCTTTGGGTTAACGCTGGTTACTGCATGCTGATCAGAAATTCTAATTTGCTGTTGATGACATCATAGAAATGTCTAGGATGTGACTGGCAGACCATATATTGTTGGCAGAGTTATCTGGTTTTTACAGTATCCAATTCTTACAGCATGTGATCAACCTCCGATCAGAATGACAGCCAAAATTAAAAGACTATTTGCAGGGAACAGTGCCTAAGTGTTTGTACACTTATTTAACTTTATTGCTTATTAGTATTACATCCATGACAGTGATGTATGTGATTTCATTTAAGTGACAAAATCTTTCAAGATATGAAGTCCATGGATGAAAACATAATAAAAGGTCCTTGGATGAAGAGAATGGGAATGAGTAGACAAGATCTCTACAGTTCCTTCATATCTAATATTCTATAATTTTAAGAGGGGCCAAGTTCAGGAATGGCTAAATGGGAAAGTTGTAAAGAATACTTGACAACACCCCAACTAAACAATGACTCACTCTAAACAAGGCAAGGCAAGTAGAATGGCAAGCAATGTAAATAACCATTCCCATCTGGGAGGCAGCACAAGAAAAAACATTTTAAAAAGGGGTGGGATGGGAGCGAGAAGAGAGTAGGGATAACAAGTGCTTTATTAAGGAAATGGAGTGCTGGCTTTATTGAGAATCACAAAACATTAACCAACGTTTAGTAGCGGGGATGATTGCCATAAGCACATTAAAAAAAAAAAAAAAAATTTTGTGGCCGGGCGCGGTGGCTCAAGCCTGTAATTCCAGCACTTTGGGAGGCCAAGACCGGCCGATCATTTGAAGTCAGGAGTTCGAAACCAGCCTAACCAAAATGGTGAAGCCCCCATCTCTATTAAAATTCAAAAATTAGCCGGGCATGGTGGTGGGCGCCTGTAATCTCAGCTACTCTGCAGGCTGAGGCAGGAGAATCACTTGAACCCAGGAGGCAGAGGTTGCAGTGAGCCAAGATTGCGCCTCTTGCACTAGAGCCTGGGCGACAGAGACTCCCTCTTAAAAAAAAAAAAATTTTTTTTTTTTGACACAACGACCTAGCCAACCTTGTGTAAATACAAGTGAGAGTCAGGCTTTTTTCTCATCAACACCTACACTAAGTTAGGCTCCTTCTGTACCTTCCACTCGGTACTTTGGTATATCTTTGCCCACCAGAACCGGGCAAACTCAGGACATTTAAAAAATGGTTTAAGAGAAACTGGCCAGAGCAGAGAGTTAAGTGTTAAGACTGGTCTTACTTCTTGGGTTGGATGCCAGCAATCCATCAGCCAGCACCATCAACCGTATCCATCAATCCCATCTGGCCAGCACCCAGGGGCAGCCAGATTGACCAGCCAGACAATAATCGACCTTATGGTGTCCTTCCCATCCCGCTGGGCGGGTTCTGGGAGTAGAAGGCTGAGAAAGGGGAGTGTTGGGGAAGGCAGGAGTGGGACGATGTGTACTTTTCTCCCGGAACTGTAGTTCTATTGTCCCAACCTGGGCTCAGGTAGCGGCCAGTAAACTAGGAGACAGCCCTAAGGCTCGCGTCCGGGCCAGGCGGTATCCCTAGTACCCTCTCCCCACACACCCATGGCTCTGCCTCAGCCGCCGCCGCCGCCGCCTGCCGGGGCCCGTGACCCGGTGACCCCGGAGCACTGGGCATCCGGACCCCCCTCGCAGGCGCAGCCGCTATTAAGGCAGGAGGCTAAAGAGGAGGAGGAAGGGGAGGAGACAGGCGTCCAGGGCGCCTGGGGAACCGGCACGGCGGAGCAGCGGCGGCGGGGCTGGGGGGAGGCCGCCGAGTCGGCCGTGGCCGAGGAGGGGCAGGCGGAGGTCGGGGGCGCCGCGGCCGCAGGGTCAGGTTCCCCGGCGGGAGGCGCGGGTGGCGGCCGTGGGGGCTGGCGGCGGATCCTCGCCTGGCTGCAGCGGCAGCAGCCCCAGTGCTGCCCCTGTGCGGCGCCCCTTCCCCGCTCCGCCGCGCACTGTTGTCATGGAGGAACCAAGATGGCGGCTCTGGCCTACAACCTGGGCAAGCGGGAGATCAACCACTACTTCAGCGTGAGGAGCGCCAAGGTGCTGGCGCTGGTGGCCGTGCTGCTGCTCGCAGCGTGCCACCTCGCCTCCCGCCGCTACCGAGGTGAGCGGGCCCTCCCCCCTGCCCGGGCAGGCCGTGGGGGAGGCGGCGACACGGCGACTGGAGGCCGCCCCCCTCTCCCAACACACGCCCACGCGGCCTCCCGCCCGCCCGGCCCGCGGGGGAGGCGGTTCCCCCACGTGCCCCCAGGTGTCCCCAGAAGCGGGCCGGCGCCCCAGGCCAACTGAGTGGACCCCAGTGGGGGCCACCACAGGACAATGGCTGGTGGTTCTGGGCCCCCCGAGCCTCCCGCGCTGGGGTCGGGGACGCCTACCCTGGGCCTGGCCCAAGGTGTTGCCGGGGTCCGGCTCCTGAGCGGTCTGGGCTGGGGGAGACGCGCCAGACCAGGGGCTCGCGTGCAGGAGGTCTGACAGGCGGCCCTTGGGGGCAGCCCGGGGCGCATGAAGCCCAAGGCCGCCTTACAAGGGGCATCGCTGCCAGGAGTGGGGTCGCACGTCCTGCCTCTTAAGAGTCCGGCTCTTTAGCCTTTGTTTAATTTTGCCTCTGCCCTGTAAAACTCAGTCTGGGCTGTTGGACAGCGGCAAGGGCCGCCCCCATGTTCCTTTGCCAAAAGGGCGACAGCTGGCAAAAGATGCCTGTGGCCAAATGGAAGAGGTGCCACCCAGCTTTTGTGATACAGAAACGTTTAAAGACTTCGGAGTGCGCACTTTTTACAAAGTAAAGGCACTGGAGCAGATTCTTGGAAGGAACTTATGGGTTGACAGGCATAAAGGTGGGCAGTTGAAAGCAAATTGTAAGCAGTTTGAAAGCAGGCCTTGGCCATGGGTTTTGAGATTGGTGTAAAGGGGAAAAGGAAATACCTTATTTATTTCAGAACGAATTATCTTTCAGTAATCAAGGGATATTTACTTGTCCTTGTTGATTGATTGTTTTTTTCCTCTGTAAAAATGCCACTAAGAGAGAGGCTGACAGGCAAAGGGAAATTAATAATGATAGGATCTTTTATTTTTGGCTCTTAATACTATCAAAGCCATTATCTGGACAGCTCTTGGTGACTGTGAGATTAATCAGTCAAGATGTAATATGTAATGGACAGGTGCAAATTAACGCTGTGCCCGTTTAACTTTACACCTACTTTGGCAAAATATCCATAAACAGGGTGCTGGAGTCTGAGCTGTAGTCTCATCCCAGGAGATCTTTCAAGGTGTAGGGCATTTTGGTCAGTTTTGCTGCTTTATTTCTTCCAGCTCCTGAGAATGAAAAATCTTATACTCTAGAGCCATACTGGGTGAACAGCTTTTAATATACTAAATTGATAAAAATATATAGATACTTTATAACCTTTTGGCCTCTCTCCAGCTCTCTCCAGATTACAGCCATATGACCTGGCAAGGCCTTGGTTCGTCTACAATCATGTAAAACTAGCAATGTTGATGCATTGATTTGTGGTAGTTTTGAGGAAATATTTCTTTTAACTACTATTAATCATTTTATGCCAATTTGGTGTAAAATAACCGTAATTTAATTCAATTTTGTGTATGTGATGGTAGTAGAAATTTTGTAACTACAGTACTGTTGTCCTAAGATAAACATCTAGTCCCCTGCCTTTTATTTTTTTGTGCTTTTTATCTTTTGATAAGCTTGGAATACTATGATTTTTAGATTATACATTTCATCTTATCAAGATCTGTCATCAGGGAGAATAGAATGTCAGATGGGGACTTATGAGTCAGTGTAGCAATCTAGGATTGTTTGTAAAGCCTCCAGAAGTAAGTCATCAGTTTCCATAGGTACTTCAGTGCCTTGAGTGTGAAGCAGTACACCTGGTGTGTGTACTTGCCCAGACTGAATGTCAATAATTTGAACTGAAGACTTTGGGAAAAACAAACATCTTACCAGGAACATCTTAGCCATCCTCATGCTTTGGCAGTATCAAACTGAGTCAGGTGCAATGCCCTTCATACAAAGATAATCATACATTTGACTCACATTATAACTCTTTAGGACAGAGGTGGCCAATCTTTTGGCTTCCGTGGGCCACATTGGAAGAAGAATTGTCTTTGGGCCACACATAAAATTAACACTAATGAGAGCTGATGAGCTTAAAAAAAAATTGCAAAAACATCTTGGATTGTTTTAAGAAAGTTTACGAATTCGGGCTACATTCAAAGCCATCCTGGGCCGCCAGCAGCCCAGGCCATGGCTTGGAAAATCTTGCTTTAGAATAAGAAAGGATCTTACATTAGATGAAGGGGATTAGGCTGTGTATTTGGATTTTGAATGTGAGTGTGCTCAGGCAAGGTAGAGTGAATGCAGTTTGGATATACATATTCAGTATCTCTTGCTTTACAAACTGCCGAAAGTAAAGGAAAGAATTACCCACTACAGAAAGTAAAGCTTGGCAAATACTGTGTGCTAACATTGAGCGCTTATATGTCAGGGACTGTTCTACTAAAGGTTTTACATGTTTTAACTCACTTTGTCTTTATAACCATTCTATGAGGTAGATACAATTACCATATTTCACTCCCCCCTACTATTTTTAACATCTCTGTAATCAGGGCGAGTCTTTAAAACTTTGATTGCATGTCAAAGTTTAATTGGTAACATTTTTTTCTTACTATGACATAAAATAATCATGTGTCTTATAATCAATGGTCTTAGATTCAGTGAATTACAGTATTATTTCCATTTTAAATATGAAGCATGACAGATTAAATGAATCGCCTAAGGATACACAATGACTGAGCTAGGATTTAGATCCCCGTTAGTCTGTCTCATGCCTTATTGTCTTTCTCAGAGCTTCTTAGACAGTGGGGAGTATAGAAAATAGAGGGAGAAAGCATTTTCCAGGGAAACATGGGTTAAACAACTTAGAAACAGTAATTCAGGCTGGGCACAGTGGCTCACGCCTGTAATCCCAGCACTTTGGGAAGCTGAGGCAGGTGGATCACCTGAGGTCAGGAGTTCAAGACCAGCCTGGCCAACATGGTGAAACCCCCTCTCTACTAAAAATACAAAAATTAGCCAGGTGTGGTGGCGGGCACCTGTAATTCCAGCTACTCAGGAGGCTGAGGCAGGAGAATCACTTGAACCCAGGAGGCGGAGGTTGCAGTGAGCCAAGATCACATTCCAGCGTGGGCAACAGAGCAAGACTCTGTCTCAAAATAATAATAATAACAATAATAATAATAATAATAATTCAACTTTGTTGTACCAGCTAAGAGTTTTTCTAAATTTTTTTTTTTTTCCAGTCAGGAGGTAATTTTCTAAAAGTTGTTTGTGTAAAGCTTCAAAATCTGACCCGAGCCTACTTTTTGTTACCTATGTTTTTTCGTTATTTTCCCCAGATTTCGGGTTCACAATCTGAATGTGCTTTGCCCATTCACATCTCACAGTTATCTGATTTTCTCTGCCTGCAGTGACTTCTCTCTTGAAAGAAAGTATACGTTCTCCTTCAAGGCCTGGTTCAAATGTCACCCCCACAGCAGTAGGAATTAGCAGTTCAGTTCTGCCAGCAACTTACACTTACTTATTGTGTTGTATTGTAATAATTGGTATCTGCCTACCCACACAGACTGTTGAGCTTCCAAGAGTATCTTACTCGTCTTTAAATCTTTAAATCATCAGACCCTAACACACAATAGGAAATCCTTAAATAACTGTGCATAAATAGATTTCAAAGTCCTTATTTCCTTTTATGTTCTTTTCTGGCTTTAATTGAATTTCATGTTCTAATCTCAATTTTAGAAAGTAGGCTTTATAAAATTATTAATATTATTTTCACATAATAGAATGACATTTTGAAAATAATTACTGCCTTAACTATACTTCTTCCAAATGTTATCAATTTCCAATATGATGAATCTCAAAATGTCCATTATTAGTTTGATTACAGGTTAAAAACATCGTTTCTGCGACAAATGGCCAATATCTGTAGCCTTAAGGATAGTTCCAATCTGGATAAATTTTAATTTTTTAAATTGATAAAGTTAACTTCGAATGCCTTAATTTTATTGAAATCAATTTTTTTTTTGTTAAATCACTAAGCATGTTAAATGCCAATGCTAAATGATATTTGGTGTTCTGGAGAAAAGTAACTTGAAAGCTTCAGAAATTAAAGCAAGAAAGCAGCAGCTCTGGGTCTCTTAGCCTTTTCTTTCTTTGTGAGAAAGATCCTGATCTTTATGATACCACTTGTAATGAGACACTCCTTGCTTGTCTAAAGATAAATTTTAATGGTCATTTTCAGCACAGACTAAAGTGTAACTTGCTGTATCTTAGGCAAACAAAATGTTCTGTGGACTATACTGTAAACTTCATGATCTGATATTTTAATGGTTGGTAGTAGGAAACACACAGTTTTAGCAGGATGATTCAGTCTAAATTTAGGTGCAGTGTGCCAGAGATAATCTCTTCAAAGGAAAACATAAGTTGGGGTTTATATGGGCTATCAGATGTTTTCTTTAGTTGTTACATTTTATTTTTCAGTTTGTTTTTGTTTGCTTGCTTTTAAAAGTATTTTTCTATCACAGAAAAATCATGCATAAAATTCTGAGATCGTAGATTGACAAACCAGAATGCTTATACTTAAGATAATAGAATAAAGAAGAAGACAGCTATTCATCCAGATAATCTTGGTGTTGGAGATAGCTGAAGTAGATAATTCTGTCTCTTTAGTTTCTTTGTGTGTGGGGGTGTGTGTGTGTGTGTTTCTTGCTTGATTTTCCTGAGTGCTTGGCAACATTTATCTCACATTAGTTGTATTAAAATAGCTATCAAAATTATGCTAGACAATTGAAAATAACCGAAGTTTTGTTTTGGTTTGTCTTTGGTAAATTTGGAAAGGAAAATATGTGCCAACAAATATTTATATATAGTGTAAATATTAAAAAGGTGGCACGTTATATTAAGATCTAGTGATTTGATTTTTAAAAATTTAGTGATTTGATTTTTAAAAATTTCCTTCCTGAGAAAAGAGAACTTGTTTTAGAGTATGAAATTTTATGGAGTTTTTTCTGGATCACATTAATTTATTTTAATCAGGTTATAATAATAGTAGTAATTTATTATTACTACTATTTTTATTTTGCTGACATACAAAAAAGTCATTCTCTTCTTGCTTTTTTTGGTTGTCTACTTAGCAATCCGTTGTATTAGATTCTGTTAAAATAACTGTACAGTTCCTGTCTTTTGACTGGACTCCAGCGATATGATATAGACACATATGGATTAATTTCAGATACAAGTCTTGTAAAAAACATCTTTGCATTATGAAATGTGTTAAGCCATCATCAACTAGCATTCATTAGCAAATTAAGAATTTCTTCCGTGGAAAGCTCAGTATTCTCTAAAATGCTGTGTTTATAATGCCTTTGGGTTAGTGACAACTTCAAATCTTACTTTGCTATGGTTTTGTTTTATTTTGTTTTGTTTTGTTTTGACACGGGTTCATCAGATTAGAACTATTGTTTTCCATCAGCTCAACAACTGATTAGCAAGATGTGGGTAGTAGTATTGACTGGAGGCAAAAAAAGTTGTTTGTATTTTAGACACGTTTTCTGGGGAGAAAAGACTGGTTGTTTTGAGATACTGGTATGGTGTTTCCATTCTCTATAAAAACATGTTGGTAACCCATATAGATGCATAATCCCAGACACTGAAGTTTGATTAAGGTGTGTTTCTGTCTAGGCTTTTAATTAAAAGACAAAAGGCAAGTAACAACACCCCCCTCCCCGCAAAAAAGGGGAAGGGAGAAAGAAAACAGAAAAGAAAAAGAAGAAAACCTTAAAGGATTAATGCCTAGTTATTTACAACTTACAACTTTTTTAAAAAATAGAAATGTTGCTAACTTTTAACTTGGTTTAATAGATTTAAAGAGAAATGCTATAAATGTGGAATTTTGGCCTTAATTTTAAACATTTACTAAAGGTTTTAATAAGATTTTACCATGTGGCCATTATAAAAGAATCCTACAAAATTGCTATTTGTAGAAAAATAACTTGTGTGTTTCTACAGTTCTCGTTTTACTCATCCTTAGTTATTTATATAGCTTAATTTTGTTTTTTAGAACTAGAATTAGTTTTTAATAATGGGGAAAATGAAGAACTAATTATTTGTAGTTTACTTAGAGACAGGTTATTAAAAAAATCTTTGAAATACAAAAAAACCTGGTCAGGCTGCATATACAGTTAACACAAATTTAGTAATTGATATCCTGCTTTCCTTAACCAGTTTCCCATCAATAAGATAGTGCAACATTTTAACTTTTCCTTCCTGTTCTACTTTAGAATTTATGACATAAGAAACAACAACACTTTCAATATTTATGCATACTTATCTTACATTTGTATCTTTTGTCTGCATTTTGGCTAAATAATGAGTAACTAGATTGAGAAAAGAGATGTGTTCTTCTACTTTAAATATCTTTGTGTCTTCCTTATCTCTACCCTGAAAAGCTCAATATCCTTTTGGTTCTGCAGTATTCTTCCTCCCAGACTCCTTAGCCTGACCTTAATTAAATGTCAAGTATAACTTGCTATTGACTATTAATAAAGAACTGGAGATTAAATAATATTTTATTATATCCCCATAATTAACCTAAACATCTCATTCTGCCCCCCACAAACCCCCATCCCACCCCATTCATTTGACATGTTTGAGCTTAAATGCCTCCAAACTCTCTTTTAACCCCTTTGGTCATGTATATTTAGCTAATGTACAGTAAAATGTCTAAAAGTGTAGAGCGACTCTTTGCCTCGGTTTACCTGGGACTGAGGAGTTTCCTAGTTACGGAACTTTCTGTTTAAAACTAGGTCTCCACGTATGCTGATGCACTATGTATTATAGTAGTTGAGTAGTTGAATAGGAAGTCATTTCCAAAGTCTTGTCTTTTATCCCTTAAACTTTTTTTTTTAAATTATTAAATTAGATAGAGTCTCGCTCTGTCACCCAGGCTGGAATGCAGTGACATGATCTTGGCTCACTGCAACCTCTGTCTCCCGGGTTCAAGCAATTCTCATGCCTCAGCCTCCTGAGTAGCTGGGACTACAGATGTGTGCCACCACATCTGGCCAATTTTTGTATTCTTAGTAGAGATGGGGTTTCACCATGTTGGCCAGGCTGGTCTTGAACTCCTGACCTTGAGTGATCTGCCCACCTAGGCCTCCCAAAGTGCTGGGATTACAGGTGTGAGCCACCGCGCCTGGCCTCCCTTAAACTTTTCTTTCTCAGCTAGAAGTAGGAGTGATATTCAGATGTAAAGGCTAATTTAAGGTTGAGATGATGTCCCCGGAAAGAAAACCTGAAGCAGAAGGAACTGCCAAAGCAGGGAACGTATCATTTAGGAGTTAGGTGAAGTATAAGCCATCAGTGGCTCTTGTCCTCTTGAATATTAATGTATTAATATTTACCATGTTTCTCATGAATGGGAAATATGAACCTGGACGGTATAGTGAAACATAAAAAACTCTACTTTTTGATTTCAAGGAACTTATATAGGGTCAAGATAGCTGATGTGTAAAATTTTAACTATTGTTTACGACACTGTTGTGTTTAACTGTTTTAGGCAATGATTCATGTGAGTACCTTCTCTCAAGTGGCAGATTTCTTGGAGAGAAAGTTTGGCAACCTCACAGCTGTATGATGCATAAATACAAAATCAGGTAACATTTCTTCATTTTGTTGTTTTACTTTTTAGGATGGGTGGAGAGGGGTTGATGAAGCAGTACGTTTCTTCTCTATGCTGGGGTAGAGACTTGCTGACTGTGTGTAGGGCTGATTGCAAATGAAGATTTCCCTGCCCCCTAAAGTTTTAGGGAAAGGCTTTGGCCAATCTGCTTTATCTCAGGTGAGAGATAACTAGGCCTAAGGCAATCATCCTTGAGCAAAAGACTCTTGCTCTGGCACCTGGGTACCTATCTTAATGGAGTTTTTCTAAGGATTAAGAGATAATAGATATAAAGCACCTAATACAGTTAGAATACATCTTAAACATGTAATGAATTGAGCTATTACAGAGAGTTAACTGATCATAGGTACGTGGAGTGGTAAGTTAAACAAACCTGGCCACCGGCTTATAAAGCAATATAATGGTATGTGTAACAATCCAGTACAACTTTCTTCAAAAACTGTGTGCTTTGAAATGCCAATATGGCTGATTTTACTTATTTTAATTAATTTTTCTTTGTTGCTTTCAGTGAAGCAAAGAACTGCCTTGTAGATAAACATATTGCATTTATTGGAGATTCCAGAATTCGTCAATTGTTTTATTCTTTTGTAAAAATAATTAATCCCCAATTCAAAGAAGAAGGAAATAAGGTAAAACTTGTCTATTCCCTTCTGTAGAGTTGTTTTAGAAGTTAACCAACTGAATATTTACAGGAGGAATGTGTCTCTCCAGATTGAGTAGGAGCTGAAAAAATTTTACTTTGATTTTCAGAAAGGTTGGGGAAAAAGAGGGGTGACTTGCTTTAATGAGGAAGATGAGAAAAAGAAGTTGTGGCTAAGACATTGGCAGGCTTTTTATTATAATAACCTAAACTTTTAGTTTTCAGAAGTAATACATTTTTACCATGGAAGAACTTTTAAATTTCCTTAGAAAGAAGACAAAGAGAAAATATACCCCTTATTCTCCTGTTAGTATTTTTCCATACTTCTTTTTGCTCATCTCTTTTTTAAAAAAAATACTAGTAATCTTTTAATATGTGCAATTTTATATCTTCCGTTTTTTCTTCACCACTTATTCATCATTATATAATCAACTTAAGTATCTTCTTAATGGCAGCATATTATTGAGTGGATATAATGTAATTTTACATAATTTCCCACTTTTTAAAGCTTTTTGTAGTTTTCTAATTTTTTGCAGTTAAAAAAGACATTTTAAATTACTTCTTTATGTGAAAACTTTGCTTTTTAAATTATTTCCTTAGGGTGGAATCTCTACAATTCAAATATTAGGTTAAATAACATAAACATTTAAAAATTATTAATTATGCTGCAAAATTCTTTCAGTTTATACTAATTAGCAATATATTTTGGGGCCTAATTTTCTGCAAACTTTCTGGCATTGGGTGATCATACTATAAATTAAAACAGCAATGCAATAGATTTTTGTTATTGATTTTGTTAGAAAATTTCTCATTTAAAAAATATAACTTTAAAAACTAACAAGGATTAATTTCTTTCTATAAATTAATTAGTTCATTATTTTTTGGTGAATTATCTCATATCCTCTGTTTATACCTTTATAAGTGATCTCAGATTCTAATCATTGTCTTCAAATACCATGTGATTGCGAGAGGGGAATAGCAAAGGGGGAAAGTAGAATACAAGAAAGTAGAGTACAAGAGTAGAGGGGAGTAGCTCATGAATTTATGAAAATCTGCCTGTGGTAAAGAGTTGAAAACTTAGAGGCTTCATAGCTAAGTAGTTTTTAACATAGTGATGATGATACCAGGTCCTAAATCTTTAGCAGCTATTCCATGTGAGAATGAGAATAATGGAAACAAACGATACAGTCAACTTTTCATTTTATTTGCTATCTGTATTTTCCATTTGCATTTATACATACGAAATTATAGAGAAGACTCAAAACTATTTAACATGAAATTATTACAATTTAAAGTGAAAATGTTTAATAAACTTTTATTTTTAATAATTAAAAAAATTATTTTTAATAGAGATGAGGTCTCACTATGTTGCCCAAGCTGTTCTTAAACTTCTGAGCTTAAGCAGTTCTTCCACCTTGACCTCCCAAAGTGCTGGAATTACAGGCATGAGCCACTGTGCCTGCCCAACCTTTAGTAAACTTTTGAAAAGTAGAGAGATTTCTGATTACTATGAAGGTTTTAATATTTCTTGGTTTAAACTTGCATGACTTTCTAAAAATTTGAATAATCCATTTGACAACAGGTAGTTTTAAAAAGCTATAATGGTTTAGTCTGCAACCAAAAGTAGATACAATATGGTACATTGTTCTTGAGCCCCAGTTACAACACTTAGGTTTCCAGTTTTTAGAGTCTAAGATGCCCAGTTATCCCAAGATTATCAAACGAGATATCAGACAAGATTAATTTATATGCATTTAAAAAGAAACAAAGATTGTGTGTCCCGGTCTTAAAGAGACAGTTTTCAAGAAAATATTTAATTCAAGCTGCTAGTGGAGCATTTGCCAAATTATATGTTACCTTGTCTCTGCACACCTTGAGGACAGAAATTACATACCATCATTATTATTTTTAAATATATTTCTTGTGCCTAGCATAATCTGGCATATTATAAAAGCTTATTAATTTTATTTAAAGTCTGGTATCGGTATGTCTGGGTAGAATAGAAATATTGAAGATAATTCTTTGTTTGAATTTGGTTTATTTTCTGTATCGAGGCAAATTTTTTAAAAAAGAGACCTCAGAGGTGAATTTTTTCAAATTATGCTTTGTGGGAAACTAGTTCTGTGAGAAGCTTTGGGCAAATGAATTTGGGCAGAGCTAGATATCGTATCTCCCTCTTAGATAGTTTTAATTTAGGCTGGGATATTAAAAACTTGAGAAGTCTTATAATAAAGAAATCCATTTTGTGTTGCTTCCAGCCATAGGGCCGACTGGATACTCTGGGGACTCCTTCTACATCAAACCAACTGGAGCCTAGGTTTAAAAAAATACTGTCGATGGGCTGAGTGTGGTGGCTCATGCCTGTAATCCCAACACTTTGGGAGGCTGAAGCAGTCGGATCACGAGGTCGAGATGGAGACCATCCTGGCCAACATAGTGAAATCCCGTCTCTCCTAAAAATACAAAAATTAGGCCGACTGTGGTGGCTCATGCCTATAATCCCAGCACTTTGGGATGCCGAGGCGGGCGGATCAACTGAGGTCAGGAGATCGAGGCCATCCTGGTCAACGTGGTGATACCCCATGTCTACTAAAATGCAAAAAATTAGCTGAGTGTGGTGGCATGTGCCTGCAGTCCCAGCTACTCGGGAGGCTGAGGCAGGAAAGTCACTTGAACCCAGGAGGTGGAGGTTGCAGTGAGCTGAGATCAAGCCACTGCACTCCAGCCTGGTGACAGAGTGAGACTCTGTCTCAAAAAGAAAAAAAAAAAAGAATAGTAGCATTAAAGTTCTGAAAGTAAGTTTTAACCCAGAATTGTATACCTGGAATTAAAATTTCTGCATTCTTGAGATGTATTATAGGACATTCTCAGATATATGAAAATAATGAGGATTTACTATAAAATAGACTTAACACTAAAGGAATTTCTGAAGGATAAACATCAGGAATGAGGGAAATGTTCAGAAAAAAATTATCTGAAATATAAGAAGCAATGGTTTAAGAAAATAGTAAACATGTATATAAATCTCAACAATGTATAAAATAATATCTTTTGCAGTTAGTGAAAAGACAACTAAAGAACTGGCTAATAATAGCATATATATCAAGGGTAAATGATCACAAAGTGTTCTAATGTACTCTATATTCTCTAAAATATTGTGTTTTTTAAAAACTTAAGTTAAAGATGCACAGTAAAACTTCAAGAATAAGGACCGAAAGAAAGAATAGAATTAGGATGTATACATTTCAACCAAAAGAATAAAAAAATTAAGCAAAAACCAAACCCATCTAATGCCAAATGTATTTTATACATATGCATACACATGCATATACCATACACATATATATGATATACATACACACACATATTTATATGTCTGTAAAAAGCTGTTTTGACATATATTATACATACATGAAAAAGCTACATATATGTGGCAGGAATAGAAATTAAAAAGTGAGATGATAAAGCCGGGCGCTGTGGCTCACACCTGTAATTCCAGCACTTTGGGAGGCCGAGGTGGGTGGATCACGAGGGCAGGAGATCAAGACCATCCTGGCTAACACAGTGAAACCCTGTCTCTGCTAAAAACACAAAAAATTAGCTTGTGTGATGGTGGGCGCCTGTAGTCCCAGCTACTTGGGAGGCTGAGGCAGGAGAATTGCGTGAACCCTGGGAGACGGAGCTTGCAGTGAGCTGAAATCGCTGGAGTGCAGCCTGGGTGACAGAGTGAGACTCCATCTCAAAAAAAAAAAAAGCAAAAAAGTGAGATGGTAAAAACATTTATAGTCAAAATAAATGCAAGCAGCCTAAACTTATGAGCTAAACACAGATTTTTCAGATTGCTCTTAAAGAGAACTTTCTGCTGGTTAAAAAGACATACTTAAAATAAAAAGGACATGAAAAGGTTTTAATTAAAAATGAAAAAGGATTCACCAGATAAATACTAAAGAAAGTTAAGTCATATTAGTATGAGATAAATAGATTTTAAGGCAAAAGCATTTTCAGGGATACAGAAAGTCACTTTCTAATGACAAAGAATTCAGGTAACTAAGATTTTAAACTTACAGGCATCTAATAAATTAGCCTTAAAATTTATAAAGCAAAAATATAACTACAAGGAGAAATTGGCAAATTCTCACTCATAGTGGGAGAATTGCATACTGCTCTCAATTAATGATAGAACAAGCAAATAAAACTAGTAAACATACAGTAGACCGTTAACATGCTTGATTCTATAACCTTATAGCTCAATAATTTAGAAAATACACTTTACAATCAGGGAATATGTTTGTTTCAAGAATGCATGGAACTTTTGAATTATTTTTATTTTTATTTTTCCTTTTTTTTTGAGATGGAGTCTTTCTCTCTTGCCCAGGCTGGAGTGCAGTGGTGCAGTCTCAGCTCTGGTTCACGCTGTTCTCCTGCCTCTGCCTCACCGGTAGCTGGGACTATGGGTGCCTGCCACCACTCCCAGATAATTTTGTTTTTGTATTTTTAGTAGAGACGGGGGTTTCACTGTGTTAGCCAGGATGGTCTCGATCTCCTGACCTTGTGATCTGCCCGCCTCGGCCTCCTAAAGTGCTGGGATTACAGGTGTGAGCCACTGCACCTGGCCAACTTTTTGATTTTTAATGTGTGTTACACCATTAAACAAATTCCAACAATATCAGAGAATTGGTGTCATTCTTTCTTTAAGTTACTTTATATCAAACTTAACCTGGTAAAAATTCTAGAAGCCTACGGTAAATGTTCTTAATGGTGAAATGTCAGACATATTTCCATTAAAATCAGGAAAAAGACAAGGATGTTCATTACTGCTGCTTCTATTCAGCATTGTATTAGAGATTCTAGCCAAAAAAGATAATCTAAAGATGTAAGGATTGGAAAGAAATAAACTTAGGAGTTCATATGATACAATTCTCTACATAGAAAATCCCAAAGAATTTATGGAAAATTTACTAGAAGTAATAAAGATTTTAACAAGGTAGCTGATTATAAGATGTACATACAAAAATTGTGATACCTCAACAAAGCTGTTAAAAATTAACACATATCTACATGCCAATAATGTAGAGTTCTAAAGGCTTTTAAAACATATCATGTGCAATGGTAACAACAACAACTATATGTTACATAAGAATAAACAGCAAATGTGGAAGATCTGTATGCAGAAAAGCCATAAAAATTTTTTGGAAGACAGTTCCAAATGACATAATTAGATGGAATATAATATACTGTTTCCTTGGATGGGAAGACTCAGTATTGTAAAGATGTCAGTTATTGCCAGACTGATCTGTAGGTTCAGTGTAATTCCAATAAAATCCTAACAGAATTTGCTGTGGAACTTTACTAATGGATTCTAAATTTTTTATGGAAGGACAGCAGACCAAGAATAACCACAACAGATCTGAAAACAAGGTGGAAAGGATTTGTTCTACAATATCAAGATTTAATTTTACCTTGTAGTAATTAAAACAGTGTGGTATTGGTGTAGAGTTGAACAAATCAACCAGTAGAATAAAATATAGAGCTCTAAAATAGAAACTTCCATATAAAATGACTTTAAAAGTAACAGAAATGCCATAGAAGATCCCTGGGGAAAAGAAGGTCTATTCAGTTAATGGTGCTAAGGCAATTTGCACATGGAAAAAGTTGAAATTGGATTCCTACCTCACACCATCGAGTAAAATCGTTTCTAGATGGATGAGTTTAAACTTAAATATGAAAGTAAAAAATTTGAAACCTTTAGAAATAGAAATAAAATGTAGGAGAATATCTTCATTATCTCAAGGTAGGGAAACATCTCTTACATAAGAAACAAAAAGTGCTAAGAAATAAAAGATAAATTCACATACCTTAAGATAAAGGGTATCTATTCACCAAAAGATACCTTAAAGAAAAAAGATAAGCTACAAATTGAGAAAAGATAATTTACAACATACATTCAAGAAATGTCAGAAACTGCAAATTAATGAAAAAGATAACCCAGTGGACAGAAGGTGGGGGTCAGGGGGTATGGCCAGGCATTTTACTGAAGTAGAACTGAGATTTTTTTTTTTATACCTACTATAATGGCAGAAATTAAATCTGACAATGGCAAGAAGTATGAAAACAGACCAGATGTATTAGGCTGTGTACCAGTAGATGTCTTATAAACTGCTAGTGAGAGTGTAAATTGTTATAAATACTCCAGAAAATAATTTGCATTATCGTTTGATGGTGAACATTTTTATGGCTTATGGATCTATGGAACAATTAGGGAAATTCTTACTCTTTTCTTAAGAGACATATCCAAGAAGACAACAATTAGTGCTTTTTATAATCTAGATAGTAATGTATCAGTTGACCTGTACTCTACAAAAATAGTAAATACGATACTTGATATTAATAAAAATAGTATTGATAAAATAAACTGATATGTACAAATTTTTAAACGCTAGGGAATGTTCCAGGTTATATGAGATTAAGAGATTTGACAACTAAATGTAACACGATTTTAATGGAATTGTAGATTAAAATATAAGAGCTATAGAAAGGATATTCTTGGGAAATTGGAAAAAATTGAATACGGACTATATATTAAATGAGATAATATTTTTTCAATGTCAAATTCCTTATGTAAGAGAATGTTCTTAGGGGTATATACTTAAAGAGAATATGCTTAAGTATTTAAGGGTGAAATGTTATGACTTCTATAATGAACTTTCACATAGTTCAGCAAAGGAGAAAAACTATAGAATATATATGTGTAGAGAGGAAGAAAGGTGAAGCTGGTATAGGAAATGTTAACAATTGGTAAAACGTTTTGGGCATTCATTTAATTCTGTCAGCTTTGCTGTAAGATTGAAAATTTTTAAAATTAAAAGTTGGAGAGAAAACTGACAAAATTAATATATATCATTTAAAGATGCATATTTATGTGACAAAAACTATAGAAAGTTTTTAAAAACAAAGTATAAACACACAATTCAGGAGAGTGGTTTACTTTGGGTGAAACATGGAGTTAAGATAGGGAAAGGACCACATAGGTGGTTCAGTGTGTTGACAATGCTCTGATTTGTATCATGGATTCATGAGTGTTTATTTAGTTCTACTGTGCTTTGTGATTTTCATATATGTGACTTTTTTGTATATATCAAACGTTATATTAGAAAAGGAAAAAAAAGAAAGAGATAGAGTTGCATTAACTACTCTATGCAAAGTAAGGCAAAGAAAGTTCATGACATTATTTTTCTGAGGACACATTTTTAAAAGGTTGAAGATGCGGTAGAAGGAGGAAAACACCTGTGTGATTTTGTTTGACCCAGTATATCCCAGATCTATTTGACCAAAGAAACTTACCTTAAAGTTTCATTGAATTAATAGTCTCAAGACTCCTTTTGGAAAGTAATGTTTTAGAAGCACCAACAAGAACCTAAAAAGTTAACTTGTTGATAGAACAAATTTTGTTTCATGGAGATTTCAGTATAAATACTATTTGTCTGTTTGAATTAATGAAAACATTTCAATTTTGATTTTAACAATAGAATTAGCTTCTTACTGACCACCCTTACCCTTTTCCCACCTAGGATTTCTAATTCTGAAAGGAATGCCATTCTTTATGTAGAACATTTGGTTATAAGAAGTTGTAGTGTTCACGTTTCAATTTTTTCTACAAATGAACTATTTATATGCTGTTTTCAGAGTGAAACCTACAATAACCTAGAGTCATGTTCATCCATTCCTGTCAGTCAGGGCCTATACTAGTACACTGGTGAGAATGGACTAGGTGTTGCTACACCGACAAACCGCTCTAATGTCTTAACAAAACAGAAGTTCTTGCTTAGCGTTGCATGTCCTAGGTGGGCTGGCGAGAGGCTTTGCTCCACATAGTCATTTAGCCGTTCCTACTATTGGAATTTTTACTGTCTTCTAAAGTACCTTGGAACATTTGGCTTCCTTAGTCGGTGCATCAGTTAAGTTAGAGACCAGAGAATTGCCTTGGGAAATTCAACCTGGAAGTGGTGTATGTCACATATATCCACATTGCATTAGCCAGAACTAGCCTTGTGGCTCTGCCTAACCAGAAGGGACTCGGGAAATGAAGGGTAGCAGTCCATTTCTGAGACAAATAGTAATACAAGTGCTGGGCACAGTGGCATATGCCTTGTAATCCCAGCACTTTGGGAGGCTGAGGTGGGTGGATCACGTGAGCCCAGGAGTTCGAGACCAGCTAGACAACATGGCAAAACCCTGTCACTACAAAAAATATTTTTAAAAAATTAGCCAAGCATGGTGGCGTGCGCCTGTGGTCCTAGCTACTTGGGAGGCTGAGGTGAGAGGATTGCTTGAGCCCAGGAGGCGGAGGTTGCAATAAGCCAAGATCGCATCTCTGTACTACAGCCCAGACAACAGAGTGAGACTCTGTCTCAAATAGCAAACAAAAACCAAATCAAACAAAAAGTAGTAATACTGGGACTAAATTGGAATCCTGGCAATCTTGGCAAAAAGGTAATTTATATAGACATGTTTATGTATTTGCTTGTTTGCTGTTGAAATTTAACTTTGAACTATATCTTAGATGTTGAAAATCACATGTAGACAATTTAACTAATGTCATTTATTTTGTTATGTTCTATCTTGGTTTTTTCCCCTTTGGGTAGAGTTTTTAGATAATTGAGATTTGGTGCTTAAAAATAAATCAAAAATATGCATTAAAATAAATCAACAAAGCAGCTAAATGGGGCATTATTTATGTAAATTTAATCTATACATTAATGTTTCTCTGTCTCCTTTTATGGCAGCATGAAAATATTCCTTTTGAAGACAAGACTGCATCAGTTAAAGTGGTAAGTTCATGTAATAGTAAGCTAGATGTTACAATGTTGAAACTATATTCTTTGGTTAATTGAACATCCTAAGTGTATTTCAGTGTATTCTTGAGAGTAGATAAGAATATTAGGATAGTGGAGTAAAAGTTTGTGTGAGTTGTTTTATGTAATGGTCTCAAAATTTTATTAGGAAAGAGTAATCTTGCACATGAATTCAAAACCAGTATGCGTTCTGGATTAATGTCTGTAAAAGAATATGTGAATTTTCTGAATTCCCAATCATTAAGAATTCAGTGAGGATCAAGACAAAAATGGCCTTGACCTAATGAAGATTGCAGGTTTTTATAGTTCTCTACATGCAAATACAAGTGGGACAAGCATGGCAGAAAAGAAAAAGAGGGGCAATGGGAATGTACAGAGCAAGGAATTGAAAGTTGTTTTCCTCCCTGCAGAAGTGATATTTTAACTGAGCCTTCAAAAATAAGTAAGAGTTAGGCAGGCTCAGTGGAAGAGTTTGTGAGCATTATGGACAGAAGGAATAGTATGTGCAAAGTCCTAGAGAAAAAGGAGAACATAGAGCATTCCAGGAGCTGACTGAGTACCAAAAGGGAGAGCAAGGGTACAAGTAGCAGGAGACGCAGAAGAGACAGGTGGAGATCCTGAACCTTCTTAGCAATTTATAGTGTTTTAGATTTTATTCTCAAGGCAGTAGAAAGTCTCTGAATACCTAAGCAGGGGTGTGGCAAGATCAGATTTAAGTTTTTAAAAGATTGCTCTGGCTAAAATGTGGACAGAGGTTAGAGGAAGACAGAAGTGGATTCAAGGAGAACTATTGTAAGACTCTTGGCAAATTAAGATAGGAATTGAAGATGTATTGGACAAGGTAGTGTTTTACTTTTAAGTACTCTATAAGAGAATGTTAATGTTTATTCTGAATGGTGGAATTAAGAGTTTCTTCGACTTTGTCTTTACTTCTAACATTTCTCTTTTAGGATTTTCTGTGGCATCCTGAAGTTAATGGTTCTATGAAACAGTGTATCAAAGTGTGGACTGAGGTCTGTATTTAAAAATCTTAGGGCTTTTTTTTTTTTTTTTTTTTTAGCAACCAAATTTTAAAAGCCTGCAAGCATATATTTCTTCCCTTTACTCACTTGTCCCACTCTCCTATATTTTATACCTGCCTTCTTGATAGCAACTAAGCTGCGCTGCACTGATTCTAGCACTTTATTGAGAAGGGAACGTGTTGATCCAATATCTCTGCCCCATTATCACCATTCTAACCATAAAGCAGATTATGTTTATACCAGACTTTCCATATTTAAAGTCTTCTGTTACTGCTGTAGTTCAGCTGATTCAAACCCAGGTAATCTTCCCAGCACAGTGTATATTCTCTTGTGCATTTTTCTGTTTTCTCCTTCAAACTCATGCCCAGATACTTCAGGAAACTTTTGTTTATTTGTTTTTATAGCCTTTTTTTTTCTTTTTATTATTATATTTGTGACCTAGCAGGCAAGACTAATATGTTTTAGCTCATCATGTTTGGAGATAAATTAGATGTAAAGGTAAGCATGCTATTAACCTCAGAAAACTCCTAAGTTCTCACAAGTCCATTTTACAATCTGTGTAGTAGTTTCCATACAGCCTTTTGTCAGTCCTTTAATTAAACCTGTATTCTTTCCCAGAGACATTTGTATTTCAGATGGATAAAACAATATTTAATTTTATTGACCTTGTTTTGTTTAATTAATTGCCCTGCAACAGTTTTTTGGTTTGGGATTTTTTTCTTCACAATAAATATTTAGTATTACAACCACATCATACAATAAATAGGCTTTTATAGGATCTTGTGGGAACCTAGCTACCATTTCTAACCTTGTTTCTTTGAGCAAATGTTTTCCAGAAAACAAACATGTAGACGGCTTCTGGAATTCAAATTTCTGGGAAATTGAGGTCTACAGTGCGTTTTGGTTTTGTCGATATGTTTTTAAATGTCCCTAAGTGTAGAATAATGTTCCGTGTATATTTGAAATGATTTAAGCATATGGTTCATATTTGTGCTGGACTGAAAATATATTTATTAAACTAGTAGAAATTCATAATTAAACATTAATACACTACAATTTGTAAATCCTACAAGATCACAGAAAACCTTTATAGGTTATTTACTAACCTGGAGATATATTACATATCCAAAATTTCAATTCTCATACATTTGTTAAAGCTAGTTTTTGGAGCCTTAGATTCTGTTGTAAAACTCATTATGGTTGTTGAGAAAAAGGAAATATTTTATTCAGGTAGATGACCACATGGTCACCTGAGATTGATTAGTTGATGGTTTTCAGTGTGGATGTGTGTAATTGCTTTTTACTATTTCCGTAGTAAACTGCTAGATCCTGAGGATTTGGAGACCCACATTTTTGTTGTTAATGTACTATTGCCAGCTTTGTGCTGAGTAATAGTAATGTGGCTGGGAATTAGCTCCAGTCTCAGCCTTCAAGGAATTTGTAATCTAGTAGATGGTGACTTACTGATGAATAACGACAAAAGAAGGCAAAAGCTAACACAGAATTGAGCTCAAAGGATTATGGAAGCACCATGAATAGAGACACTTAGGACAGGAGGTGATGAGAGTATTGGTAATTATCTAAGAACATTTTATAGAGGAGATAATATTTGAGAACTATGAGTTAGGAAGAAGATACACTTATTAACTAGAATAGCCTTTTAGAAGCCTATAGGCGTAAAAGCAAAGTTGAATTGAGAGGACTCTAAGTAGATTGTTATTCCACAGATATTTCTATATTCTAGGCACTAAGTTAGACACTGTTGATACGTTGGTTAACATAGAGATCCTCGCCTCAAAGAGCTAGATGAATAACACATACACTTAAGCAATGTGACAAGTGCTAAAATAGGAAATGTAAAGGGCACAACAAACAGGATTACAGAGGATAGACCATAAGTGTAATTTTTTTTAAGTTTTCAAAATTAGTTTTCAGATAAAGTGGTCATGAAGGTGAGTGTGGGGAACGAGAAGTGGGGTTATTTCCTGCAAAGGAAACAGCGTGTGCAATGATGCTGAAGATGGAGTATAGCCTATTCAGGGACTTTCCAGCAGTTTTAGTGGAGCTGACATACAAAATGCTTCTTTATGTGTGTTGGTTTTGGTTGTTCTTTTCATATGCTTCATTTTACAGGGAGTTGACAAGAGATGAGGAAGCAGGTACTACATTATGAATGATATCCTAAGCCATATTGGGGGAGTGGATTTATTTTATCTGTTTTTTAACTACTTCTAAATACTTCAGGGTGTATTTTCTGATAATAAGTACATTGAATTGAATTGAAGTGGAGAACCATTGAAAGTTTTAAACAGGAGACTGATGTGATATAGTGGAAGAGTGGAAGGAAATTAGGCTGACTTGTAAAGAAACTGGCAGTTGAGATGTAATTCTGTAAGTGAATGGAAGTCATTAAGTCTGAGCTATTGGATGGATTTTGGGAGTCTTGGTATGGATTGAGGTTATATTTGAAGTTATTTGAATGGAAGAAATTGAATAGGCAGAGAATTTAGAGATTCAAGAGGAGAGGGCTTTTGAGGAATGGAATTATCAAGGAGATTCCGAGAAGTGGCAGTAAAAGGAGTAGGAAGAAAACCAAGGGAGGAAGGACTGTAAAATCACATACAGGGGGAGGTAAGCATTTTAAAAGATGGATAGTCACCAGTGTCACCTTCAAAACTTGCTAAGGTGGAATGAAGCTACAGCGTTTGGCAATCCAGGGTTCGTTAATGGGCTCGTGGGACAGTTTTAATGGATAGTGAAGCCCAAATTCAAAGCGTAAGTTGAGGCATAAGTGAGAGATAAAGAAATTGGCATAGTGAGGGAAGTTATCTTTCAAGTAATCTGTTGGTTACAGGTGTGAGACAGGGTTGAAGGAAAACTTTTTGAGGATAAGGATGATTTAACACTTTTAAGCTGAGGGAAGGAAAGAGAGTGGAGGAGGAGGACAAGATTGATACTATGAGAGTTGGAGGACATAATTCATGAATCATAGCTCCAGAAGTGAAAAGGGAGGGAATGTAGACAGAGGAAGGCATTAGCTATTGAGAAGAATAGAGACATACTTTCTTTACTCTCTTGTCAGGAAGATAGCTGCGGGAGTATAGAGAAGTTGTAAGAATGAAGGAAGGAAGGCAAGAGCACACTTGTTGGATGAATTTTATTTTCTCTACGAAGTTTGAGAATTAAACTTTATGCTGAGAAGGAGGGCATGGAATGTAAGGTTTAGGATAACCAGTGTAAGTTTTGGGAATGAGAAAGGCACCTAGAGATGAGGAAAAAATATTAAAAATTTTGTATTCACTAAAAATTCTTTAACAGTGTAAAATGAAGCATGCTAAACTGGAAATGGTCATATATCTAAAAGAAAATTGATTTATTTTGTTATTTTTCTCTATTTTTGTAGTGTTTTACATGAAGCATGTATTACCTTTATAGTGAAAAAGTAACTGTCATTTTTTACATCAGTCAATTTTTTGTTACTAAATTTTATACTTGTTTTTAATTGTTTCTTGTGTGTATGATTGCAATATCAGGTCTTTGATGATTCAGAAGTCAGAAGACTTAAGTTCTGACTTACCTGGCAGGCCTCAGCAATATCCTATTAGCCATTCTGAGTCTGTGTCTTTGTTTTATAAGAGATATATAATATCATCTTGCCTGCCCCACAGGGTGGAAGGCAGGAATCTATATTACAATGAGATAAGAGAATGTACTTAGTAAGTTAGTAAGTACTATAAAGTACTATATACTTGTTATGCTATATATAACATATAGTTACCTACAAATATAATTGTACTATACTATTGCTATATATTATAAATAGCATACAGTAGTCCCCATTTATCCATGGTTAATATGTTCCAAGACCCCAGCATGTGCTGAAACTATAGATGGTACCAAACCCTATGTGTACAATGTTTTTTCCTATACATACAAATGCATGATGAAGTTTAATGTATAAATTAGGCATAGTAAGAGGTTAACAGCAATAACTAATAATAAAATAGAACAATTATAACAGTATCTCAGCATTACTATTTTTGAGCTTTGGGGTCATTATTGAGTAAAATAGGGGTTACTTTAACACAAAGATTGTGATGCTGTGACAGTTGGTCTGACAACTGAGATGGCTACTAAGTGACTAATGGGCAGGTAGCATACAGTGTGATACCCTGGACAAAGGGAGGATTCACATCCCAGGAGGGACAGTGCAGGATAGCATGAGACTTTATCATGTTACTCAGAGTGGCACATAATTTAAAACTTAGGAATTATTTATTTCTGGAAGTTTCTATTTAATGTTTTTGGACTTCAGTTGACCACGGGTAACTGAAACAGTGTACACTGAAACCATGTGTAAGGGAGGGAACTACTCTAATTTGCGTTTGGCGCAGGTTTTTAGGGATCTCTACTTGCGTTTTTCTGCATGTGGTCTTTAATAATTATCAGTTTATTTTGTTAAATACGCATTGGATTTCACTTTCCCAGAAGATTGTTTTGGCACTGACCTTGTATTTTATTTAACACTTATGCTGTGTACCCTTTAGGCTTCCATGATTACCTTTTAATTGACTGACATAATACACTAGTGCTTTACTCTAAACATTTTACTCTGAGTGCAGAGTAATATTAGGTCATGTTAGATTTCAGTGGTGCTTTTTTTTTTAAGAACATCAAAGAGTTAACCATCCAAATTTCTGTCATCCTGTATGTATATGTAGCCTTACAAGATTTTAGGCGTTGGATATCGGTCTTGCTATAACAATAATAAGCGATAATAATAACAAGGAATTCTAAAAACTTAGAATGAATTTAGAAGGAAGAACTTACATTTTAAGGAAAAAAAATTAAATGATGTTATTTGTATTAATTCCCTGAACTGGATATAATACTATGATAAAGATTTTTCTTCCTTTAGGATTCCGTTGCAAAACCACATGTGATTGTAGCAGGAGCTGCCACAGTAAGTTATTATCTATATTCTTAATGATTTTGTTTCGCGTTTAAGACCATGCTAAGAAAAAGTTAATTTGTATTCAGAATTCTTGATTGTACCTAAATTTTTAATTCTTACTTCTATTATGATTAGATTGTTGAATTTTAATAAGGTTGGAATGAACTTAGGAAACTTACTGTTAAATATCAGTATTTTTTATATCTAAAATTGTATTCTTCTTGAATGCATTGAAAGTATAGTTTTATAACAGCTTTTTCTAATTGCCTTCATGTATTTCATGAAATAATTTGACCAAATTTTATTCTTATGTTAAATAAAATGAGAAATATCTAAAATAATAACACTTGTTACAATAGGTAAATTATATACTTTAATTGTTTATGATAAATGCTACATTAATGGATAATATATACTTCTTTTTAGTGGTCCATCAAGATTCACAATGGTAGCAGTGAAGCGCTTTCTCAATATAAAATGAACATTACCTCCATAGCACCACTTTTAGAAAAATTGGCAAAGACTAGTGATGTTTATTGGGTCTTACAAGGTAAGGAATGAGTAATGAGAAAACGTCATTTTGTGTATGTTTTGAAGCATAGGTTTTTATTATCTTCTGTTTCAAGAAGCAGAATTACTGCTTTATGTGAATTAATTTTGAAACAAGATTTGCAAGATTAGAGTACACTTGAGTTATTTGCTCTCCTTTTTCAAATGTAAGGAACAAATTAATAAACATAGGTGAAAAATAAGAAATATCCTCCAAGGAACCTCAGCAGAATGGCTATAGAATGTATAACAAAAAGATAAGTCCTAAAGGCAAATGAGATGTGGTCTCTCTGACTTTTTTTCTTACAAAACATATTTATTGTGATTGGGAAATATATAGAAAAAATACGATCTATTTCATAATTTTTTTTTTTTTTTTTTTTGAGACAGGGTCTTGCTCTCTTTCCCAGGTTGGAGTGCAGTGGCATGATCTTGGCTCACTGCAACCTCCGCCTCCCAGGCTCAAGCGATCCTCCCGCCTCAGCCTCCCGAGTAGCTGGGACTACAGGTGTGCACCACCACACCCAGCTAATTTTTTGTATGTTTGGTAGAGACGGGGTTTTGCCGTGTTTCATAACATTAAAGTCTTTAGAAGTAAATATACTTCACCCTGCTTCATAATATTAAAGTCATTAGAAGTAAATATACTTTTTTAGCAAGCAAAGGGTTTCTGAAAAAATAAAAATAATTAAATAAAATACACTTTTGAATTGACAGAATATGTTTAAATTTACACAATCTAGTTTATGCTTGTTAATGAAATTCTTAGTAGACATTAGGATAACTCATTTTAGGAATTTATTGAATGTTATTTAATGCCTAGCACAATATGAAATGTCATGGATATTTTAGCAATTCATGCTTTTTGTCAGGAATTCTTATTATTTCCAAGTTGAATGTCAAAATGAAAGGAATAAGAAAAATGGTAGTGATGATCTGTTCCATAATTCCTATTTTATTCACAGACTCATTGTTAACCTTTCTCATATTAAAATGAGGAAAAATTAAATTTATTTATAGTAAGTGATAAGACAATAGGCAGACCTTGAGCCTCAATAATATTACCTCCTAATGGTATGAACAAAGTTTACAGAATTAAGCAGTGACAAGAGAAAAAAAAGATGGGCAGCTATTTTTATTTAAGCAATCTTCTATAACTAATTTTAGATTTCTTATTACCCATTATATCCCAGCATCCAAAAATGTTAAACTCTTAAGACATGCTAGAGCATAAAAATATTTCCCCAAATCTGTGTATATAGAGATGGGACAACAGTTCTTTAAATTTGAGAGGGATATTGCTTGACTCAAAACTTGAATATAAAATGGGAAATCTGTTGCAAACTTTGGGAAGCTTTATGTAAAAATGAATTATTAGGTACCTGATATCATCTATACTTTTAAAAACAACATTTGAAATGTGGAACAGCTAACGTGCATGATCACGATTTTTACCAATAGGGATTTTTAAAATGTGTTTTTAAAAATGTATCTCACATGCAGATCCTGTTTATGAAGATCTATTAAGTGAAAATAGGAAGATGATCACTAATGAGAAGATAGATGCTTACAATGAAGCTGCAGTCAGTATTTTGAATAGTAGCACCAGAAATTCTAAATCAAATGTTAAGATGTTCAGTGTTTCCAAATTAATTGCTCAAGAAACCATCATGGAATCTTTGGATGGCTTACATCTTCCTGAATCAAGCAGAGAAACTGTAAGAAATTTTTACATATATCAGTAGATGGAGACTATAATATCAATTGCTTTAAGCCATAAGTCATTATAACATGGTTATAAATAATTTATTTTATTGCAGTCCTAGTAACTTGTAGTTATTCTGTATAGATACATCTAGAAATACTTTTGCTTTCTGTCATCTAGCTGAATATGTACATAAGAGTTTTGGTACATTCTAAGAGAGAAAGAAGTTAGGGAAGAAGGGAAATTAAACTTCATTTATTGAGTGCTAATCACTGTTAATATACATTGTCTCCTCAGAAGCATGTATGTTCTCAGCACACTCACGTTTAAAAACTACTACTTCTATGTTCTCCTTACGTTAAACCTTAAGGTTATAAGATTAAGCTTCAATGAAGAATACACTTTTTAATGCTTAAAATAATTTTTATTAATTCCCTATAGCTCTTCTGGCCAGGCGTGGTGGCTCATGCCTGTAATCCCAGCACTTTGGGAGGCTGAGGCAGGTGGATCACTTGAGGTCAGGAGTTCGAGACTAGCCTAACATAGGGAAACCCCATCTCTACTAAAAATACAAAAATTAGGTGGGCGTGGTGGCACATGCTTGTAATCCCAGCTACTCGGGAGGTTGAGGCAGGAGAATTGCTTGAACCGAGGAGGCAGAGGTTGCAGTGAGTCAGGATCCCACTACTGCACTCCAGCCTGGGTGACAGAGAGAGACTCTGTCTCAAGAAAAGAAAAAAATAATTCTTACAACTCTTCTATCCTAAGCATTATTCAAGATACAGAGTACATACTGAACAAATCCAAGTTGACCTATGGAAGGGGATTTAGGTTAAGTATGAAAGAGAACTACATAACTATAAATTTTAACAAACAGTGGAACAAATTAGTTTTTTTCTCATTAAGCAGTGGTTCTTAACCTTTGTGAGAGTTGCATGAGCCCTTTGAGTATCTGATACAAGACACGGGTTTTGTTCTTCTCCTGCAGAATAATGTGTATGTTTGCATATACATATGGTTCTCCATATACATAAAAGGGCTTGATGAACCCCCTAAAAGCTGGTAAAGAACCTTGCAGTGGAATTTGCAGGCTAGTATCTGTAAGAGTGCCAGGCATAAAACCACCTGCAGTCTTAAGGCTAAAAGGATGAGATTTCCTCGAATCTTGCTTATTTTGAATGTTTAGGCTTAAATAAAATAATCATCTAGCGTTCCACAGATGCCTAAACTACGAAGTTTTTATAAAACTAGAGTTTGACTGAACCTTCAACTAGACAGACTCTTGACAACTTTCCCAGAATAATTTTATTATAATTAAACCATGTTGAAGGTTCTAAGTTTTATTTAACATTAGATATCTTAAAACTGTAGAATCCTAAATGGCCTATAAACTATAATCCAAATGAAAGACCTATTACAAATATTGCTAGCTAAAAATTACTAATTTTTTAGTGGCAGTTATTTTATGCTTTTTTTTTTTTTTTTTTCACATTTAAACAGTAGACTTTATCTTAAGTGTCCTGATATCTTTTGTTTTGAAAGTCTTCTAATTAAAATTCTTTGGTCCTTGATGTCTGTCAGCATTTTTTTAACTAAAGGTCACAACCCATTAACAACCATGAAATTGGTGTTGGGAAAAAAAAAGAATAGAACAATCTCGGAGTGCATTCCAAGTAGTAAGGATAGGTATTGTTTCCTGTAAATGTCCTGGGTCACATTATAAAATGAATTTTGTATTTTGGTTCATAGCCCCAGAAGTTTGAAACACCCTGAACTAGCTGTTACAGATGGAAGGAATACCATTATTTGCGTGATTTGGGAAATGGTAGCAAAAGATACAAAAGCATTCTGGTTTCAGTGCTAAAAACTCAGTAGTAGTCACTGGAGAAAATTTAATGTGAAATACGTCACTGACAAGATAATAACCAAATAACTTGATTTGTTCACAGAGTGCAATGATTCTTATGAACGTGTACTGCAATAAGATTTTGAAGCCTGTAGATGGGTCCTGTTGTCAACCTCGGCCTCCTCTTACTCTCATACAGAAGCTAGCTGCTTGTTTTTTCACTTTATGTATTATCGGATATTTAATTTTTTACATAATTCATCGTAATGCTCATCGGAAGAATAAACCATGTACTGATTTGGAAAGTGGAGAGGAAAAGAAAAATATTATCAATACCCCTGTGTCTTCATTAGAAATACTTTTACAGTCTTTCTGCAAACTTGGCCTGATTATGGCATATTTCTACATGTGTGACCGTGCAAATCTGTTCATGAAGGAAAACAAATTTTATACACATTCATCTTTCTTTATTCCAATTATCTACATTTTGGTTTTGGGAGTATTTTACAATGAAAATACTAAAGAGGTAAGAGTCATTTTCTTTTTAACTCATGTTACCCTTTTTATCATTATAAACTCTGTTAAAGAACTAATATCATTTATCGTGACAGAATATACAAACAGGTATATAGATGAAGATGAAGGAATATTGTAGTTACACTTCACTTAGTGGACTCTTAACTGTTGCTTTTTCGGAACAGTTTGGAGAAAGGTCAGAGTCACGTGAAAATGTTGAAAAGTTGAGCAATATGACCTGTGAAAAAGATTTCATGACTTAGTGTTATTTTGCCTGCTTGTTGATGGAGAAAGTTGAAGTACTTCTGATTTTATAATGGTCTTCAAGCATGAGATACTATTATCTTTTATAAAGTAAAATAATATGATTATATTAACAAATACTTATGCACACAGACATTTTATATTTATATATTTATCAGTCAGACATATATATGTACCAATTAGAACTTAATGATGTGGCCACCACTACTCACAGTATTCTGATTTTCCTATTTTAGAATTGCTGTCATTGCTCAAAATATTTGTGTAACGTCTTTACAAGGCATGATTTATTTGAATTACTGAATTCTATTGTAAAACATACCTCTCCTGTGAGGATTATTAATTAGTTACTCATCTTCAGTGAGAATATATTGGGGAAAGTAAACTGTAATGATAGAGCTTTTTTTCCTGTCAATGAAGTGTAGGGGAAGTGTAAGATCCTTTTAACTCTGAAATTCTAAAGAAAATTATAGAATGCCATTTTTAGATTTATAAATACATCTGTCATAGTTTAATTTTAGTACATTTAATTTTAATACATTGTCATTTAATACAAAACCAAGGGGATCAACTTAAATATTCAAAATCTCTTTAGTTTATATTTTTCAGATTCATATTATATTTAAAATAGTTTTACACTATCTTTTAGCAAGAAATAAAATGACAGTTTTTAACTCTTTCTCACCACCATCAAGGTTCTTTTGACAGAAGCATTAGCTTTATGTCCTGTAAGAAGACTTTTAACATACTTATTATATACTGTTAAATAATTTCTTCATGATAAATTTTAAAAGAGATTTTGGTTCCTTTACACAGACCAAAGTATTAAATAGAGAACAAACAGATGAATGGAAAGGCTGGATGCAACTTGTGATTTTGATTTATCACATTTCTGGAGCAAGTACAGTAAGTATTGGAATTTAAGTTCAGAAAGTACAGGAAATGATGTCATTTTAATGTTTCTTTAAGGGCACTAGCTTTTCTGTGTTTTATATTCTCTACCAGTTATAGACCCTTCTTATTTCCCACTTAATCTTTCTGCCTTTCCATTCTCCTAACTCTTTGAGAAAATGTAATTTTAAAAGCAAAATTTTTTTTAAAAAAGATATGGCAATAATTGATTTGTATTTACTTGGCCTTAATTTTTAATGTAATAGAAATAGCTGATATCTAAGGGTATTATTTTATGCCATCTTATTGAACAGCTAATTTGAAGTTATCAGGAAACTTTGAAGAGGCCAGGTGCAGTGGCTCATGCCTCTAATTCGAGCACTTTGGGAGGCCGAGGCGGGTGGATCACTTGAGGTCAGGAGTTCAAGACCAGCCTAGCCAACATGGTGAGACCCTGTCTCTACTAAAAATACAAAAATTAGCCGGGCATGGTGGTGCATGCCTGTAATCCCAGCTACTCGGGAAGCTGAGGCAGGAGAAACACTTGAACCCAGGGAATGGAGGTTGCAGTGAGCCGATATTTCGCCACTGTACTCCAGCCTGGGTTGCAGGGCGAGACTCCGTCTCAATAAAAACAAGAAAAAAATAAACTTTGAAGATGATGATTATAAAGGATGTAGAATAGGCAAATTACTACCAGAAGAAATCAAATTTGATTATTATAGTTTATGTTCTATACTTCACTGTCTTTTAGGAAGTGTGACTAGCTGTTTTTACATTTTTAAAGTTTAAAAAACTTACAACTCTCTTGCCTCAGTGTTCAAAGAATCCAAATACAGGCGAACTACCATTGTAGACTATGTAGAGTGTGCCATACTTCCTAAGTGCTAAGTACTATTGTCTCCTCTGTGCTGTGGAGGACCCTTCCTTTGGTCACCTAATTAGTGCCTTTTGTACCTGGAAAAAATATTTTTTTCCTTCTCCATAGGTGTCTTAAAAGACAGGATTATTATAATCTCTGGCCACCTTCGATGTGGCAGGGCTAGAAAAAAATGTGTGCTCTGAATTTTAACACCCCAGCCACATTACAGTTAAAACAAACTTTTGTGGCTGAGCCTAACAGCCACTTTTCACACAAACTTTTGTAGTGAAGATGCAAACTTTCCATAAAATATGTTTGAAAATTTTAAGAAATTCATAATTTGGGAACAACTGAACTGTTTTTTATTGTTCTATTTGCTTACAGAAAGCACACATCTATAAACAGTACGTGCATCAATGATAAGTTGAAGTTAGAGAGGAGTGTTGCCCAGAAAGGAGTATTTTGAAGATTTAAGCAGCATTAAGAAGATAAATAACATGGTTACTAGTGTTTTTCAGATATCTCTAACAATTGAAGGATGTCTTTCTTCATTGTCTCTTTATTATTTTCAAAAATTATGATTTTATGAATTATTTATTTGAAGTGTAGAAGTCAGAGAAATGAAGTATAAATTTTACTAAAATTATTTGGCTATGATATGTATGTTTGTTGCAATAGGGAAATTCCTGTGATGCTGCAGCTGAAGGGAAGCTAGTGAATTTGAGTCATTATGAAAGAGCCAAGATAGTGTAAATGATCCAAGGCAAGGAGAGATGGAGATAGTAAGACATAGTTTATAAGCCCAGCTAAGAATTTGTAGTATAAATCCAGAGATTCTCTAAGAAGTAAGTAGAGATGAAAATTGAATCCTAAGAATATCTCTGATGTGTGAATAAAGACTGGGTAATGGGAATTTGTTTTAAGAAAATACCACTTAGAGACATAATTAATTGCTGACATATTAAAGGGTGATACTACTGTTTAAAAAAAATCAGGTAGAGAGAATTAATGGCAGATTAAGTTCCTCAATTCAGTGATTCAAGAAAGGATTTATATCATAAAAGGATGAAGGCAATCTGGTATTCTATTAAAATCATTTACCAACCTAACATTCTAATATATCTTACACTGCATCCTAATATATTCTAATTTACAATTTAAAAAAATCTCTGTTCTGGAAGGACATACTTTTCACTAACAGATCATTTATAATGATTAATTAACATATCCCTGTTCTTTTGTATAGGATGTTGTGGTTAAAAAATTTGCTTTATCTACATAGGCAAAACATTATTAGTATATGTTATAGCATATTTGGGGACTTGATTCTTGGATATTTGAGGGATGACTCATCTTAAAAACTTTCTAACATGATTATTTTAATTAATATTTTTTATTTTGAATAAAATCTCAAACTTCAGTTGTGTCATGTTTTTATGCTAAAAGATAAGAACTGTTCAAAAATTCTGGAGAATTATGAAAATAATCCTTATAGTCTGACAGATTCTCATTGTTAGTGTAAATATTATTTTAAAGTGTATATATGAAATATAGATTAAATGTGAATTTAATATGAAGAGAATAGTGAGTTTGGTATATATGGTAGATGGATTTTGTGTTCCATTGTTTCGTTTTTTTTTTTTGTTTTTTGTTTTTTTGTCTTTGGAGAGTTTGTAACTTCCATGGAAAGACCTGAATGAAAGGTCATGAGAATATATGGGGGACTAAAGAAAGAGCAGAACCGGAAGTCAAACTAGCTATTAACTGTAATGTAAACTTGAAATTTCATACATATTTTTAATAATAAATTTTTGTTGTAAGTAACATAACAAAATAATAGAGAATTTTGAATATGGATCATACAGTAAATACTGTTGTCTTCTTATTAAATTTATTGGTTATGGTAATGATAATGTGGTCATATAAGAAACCATCCTTTTTTCCTGAGATATACGTGGTGAAATAGTTTAGGAGCACTGTCACATGGTCTGCGACATACTTTTAAAAGGTCCAGCATACAGCATATAAGTGTCCATTGTACTAGTACAACTTTTCTGTTTATTTAAAATATCTTAAAATGTTGGAATAAATATTACATGAAATTTGCAATAAGGCCAAAATCGGCAAAAACTTGGAAAATTGTTGTTACAGTATTTAATTTTGTTTAAATGAACTATACTTACTGTTTAAATGTAATAACCAACCCAACTTTGTAGTCCCAGCCCCAGTCTTTAAGGGAGTTGAAAGCATGTTTTATGGAGAGTGCTTAAAGTAATTAGGAATGACTAACCTAGGTTCGACATCTGTTTTCAAATATTTATAGAGCCATCAGATGTAAAAGTGAGTTAGCTCTGACAGACTCTAGAGCTAGACTTTCCGCTGTGCTAGCCCCATTCGCTGCATGTGGCTGTTGAGCACTTTGTTGCTATTCAGGATTCAAATGTGCTGTAAGTGTGAAATATATACCACATTAAATATGATTAATTATGATGAATCAGTAATAGATTTAAAAACTTTATATAAAGAATGAAAATAGCTTATATATTAAAATAATATTTTGAATATATTGGGTTAAATAAAATATATTTATTGAAATTAATTTTACCTGTTTCTTTTAACTTTTAAAATGTAGCCTCATTAGAAAATTGCTTATGGCTCACATTTTATTTTATTTCTGTTGGACAGCGCTGCTCTAGAGGATTGAACTTAGTAGCTTTTACATATAGTTAGGTTTCTACTTTCCATGAAAAGGAACATTATAGCAGTTAGTGACTATCTAAAGGTGGAATGGATTGCGTTGGGAGTTTGTTTTCTGCTATTAAAAGATGCTTAGACAATCCACGAAGGGGATATTTTAGAGTACATTCAAGAATGAGGTAAGGGCACAGATTTGGATTAGATAAATTCTGAGGTTATTTCAGTACATTTCCTGCCTCCATCCTTGTGATTCTAATATGTTACACCCTTCTTGAAAATTTCTGATGTAATAAGTCATTTAAAAAAAACATGATGAAGGGCAATAAATAAAAACTCTTTGATATGTAGATTGTAGGTGCTGTAGGAACTCAGGAAGGAGAAATGACATTCATCTGATAGCAAAAATTGGAGTTTTGAACCAGGCTCTGAAGAAGAGTAGGATTTGAATAAGCAAAACGCTTAGGGGAAGAACATTCCAGGGCAAGAATAAGCAGGTAAATAAAAGAGACTTGACAAAAGAGTACAAGAAGGATCAGTTTAAGAGACAGGGAATCTCTAAGTTTGCTTAGAGTGGAGGCTGTGTAGAAGAACTTACGATCTAAGTTCATGTTTGTTTGTTTTTTTTCCCCAGAAGAAATATCTGTCAAAAAAGAAACAGATGAATTCAAGGTTGTTTGCAAAAGATGCATATATTTCAGGACTTGTAAAATCTATTTAATGTGTCTGCCCAATTACTTTATTTTATCCTACAAAGTATCACTTGGGAAAGGCACATTAACCTGAAATGATCACAAGCAGTGTTAATGCTAGGTAACTGCAGAGATGATCAGATGAGTTCGTAAAATAGAAGCCATAGATCTAGTAATTATCCCCAAAAGAATGGCCTTATAATTACAAGGATTGCATGTCACTGAACAAGCCTTTTAAATATCACTTTATTTTTGTTATTTTTTGTGACGGAGTCTTGTTCTGTCACCCAGGTTGGAGTACAGTGGCGTGAGCTTGGCTCACTGTAAGCTCCACCTCCCGGATTCAAGCGGTTCTCTTGCCTCAGCCTCTGAGTAGCTGGGATTACAAGTGTGTGCCACTATGCCTGGCTCACTTCTGTATTTTTAATAGAGATGGGATTTCACCATGTTGTCCAGGCTGGTCTCAAACTCCTGACCTCCAGTGATCCACCTGCCTCAGCCTCCCAAAGTGCTGGGATTACAGGCTTGAGCCACTGCACCCAGCCTTAAAGATCACTTTAGAAAGCAGTGTATGGCCAGGAGCAGTGACTCACGCCTGTAATCTCAGCACTTTGGGAGGCCAAGGCGGGTGGATCACCTGAGGTCAGGAGTTCTGACCAACATGGCGAAACCCCGTCTCTACTAAAAATACAAAAAGTTAGCTGGATGTAGTGGTGGGCGCCTTTAGTCCCAGCTACTTGGGAGGCTAAGGCAGGAGAATTGCTTGAATCCAAGAGGTGGAGGTTGTGGTGAGCCGAGATCACGCCACTGCAGTCCAGCCTGGATGACAGAGTGAGATTGTCTCAAAAAAAAAAAAAAAAAAAAAAAAGCACTGTACAAATTATGCTGTGGAAATTGTGCTTGTACACATAAAGGGCCAGCAGGTGGTAGATAGGTGGAATGACAGTGTTCTAAGATTATGAGAATTAGTGCTAGTAAATTAGATAACATTTTTGGTGCCTTCTATCATATGTGGATTCAAATGTGTTGTATTTCATTCAACTTAGAAGTAAAGATGTGATGCTCTCAAATACCATAATAAATGACACTAAGGGACTTGGTAATGATGAAGATAGTGATGTAGGAGTGTAAAACAAAATTGTTTTGTAAAATAAGAGTGGGAGGGAAATAATATTCCTAAATTATGTTTACACTGGGTAAAAGTGCAAATCCATCTTGCATTCAGGATGTATGACAGTTAATAATTATAGCTATCATATATTGAATTTTAATTGGTTTCAAGTTAATGTATAAAGTGCTTCACATTTATTATCTCATTCATCCTTCACAAGAACCCTTCAAGGAAGGAAGGAATAGTCTCATTTTGCAAATCAGAAAACTCAGTCATGTTAGAAAGTAGCAGAATTAGAATTTGAACCTAGGTCTCTCCAATTCCAATTCTACATTTTTGTAATCCTTGCTATAATGATTAACTTATGAGAATCAACGTTGTGATTGAACTGATGCCAAGTGCTAATAATGATTTATTATCTTTGTTAAATGTACTTTTTATGATAATCCAAGGTGTAGTTGATGCCAACATATGTTTTACCTGTTTATCTTTGTCAACAGTTTTTGCCTGTATACATGCACATTCGAGTTCTGGTTGCCGCATACTTATTTCAAACAGGGTATGGTCATTTCTCATACTTCTGGATCAAAGGAGATTTTGGAATCCATAGAGTATGTCAGGTAGGAATGCACTGTTATTTCCTTTTCTTTCAGTTGAACATGCTTTCTTGAGAAATCATTAACTTGAGAAAAAAATATAAATATAGTCGTTATAAGACTATGAATAATTTGAATTTATGAAATAGCACTGTAAAGTTGTATTCTGTGTTCTATGTTTAGTATTTCAAGATAAATAGTGAAAGAAGGAAAATATAATTTAATATATAATAAAAGCACTGGTACACAGGAGACAGCATTGCTGATTCACTTTGGTTTTGTAGAAACAGACAGTTACCTGGAATTAGTATAATGTGCTATGTTTTCTTTCTCTGAGAAGAGGATGAATATTAATTAATTTTCTACCTAGTGCTAAGTAGTTTCTAAACATTATTTCATTTACCCCACATTACAGCCTTGAGTTGTTATCCTTATATTTACAGATGAGGAATGTAAGACTCAGAGAGCTTAAATAATTTGCCCAAGGTCACATAGTAAGTGGTAGAGCACTAATAAAGCTCTGCCCAAATTCTGTGTTTTTTGAATGACATTAAACTGATACCTGAAATGACTGTTATGAAAGTCCCAAAGACACTTATAAATTTGAGTTTTGAGTAATACTATTTCGTATGTATGACAACTCTTAATTTGATCCCAAATGGGGTAAATCAACATTAAACTAGATGAAATGGACAATGCTTTCTTAAGATAATATAATCTGTGCTTCGAAACTATAGCCCTCAGAAGGACTGCTTTTTTCTCCTTTAGCAAGATAGCAATTATAGCCAGAGGACAGCCTAGGTTGGTGCTTTGCTGGGATTTAGTTAATGTAATGATGTATGCATATTTTATATTCAACTCTTTACGGTGATTGTAGAACAAATGTAATTTAAGGGATTAGTAATATATACTTGTACAGTCATTACTGAGTCTTAGCCATTTATACTCTGTCAGAGAAATTCTGCCTTTGCTGTTTGTGTATACCTAGAATGAAAACCATTACTTAGAATGAAACTATTTTCTTCTCCTTTTCAATAGGTTTTATTTCGTCTCAATTTCCTGGTAGTGGTGTTATGTATAGTAATGGATCGACCTTATCAATTCTATTACTTTGTCCCCTTGGTCACTGTATGGTTCATGGTCATATATGTTACTTTAGCACTATGGCCACAAATAATCCAAAAGAAAGCAAACGGTAAATATACTTTCTTACTAATGTTAGTAAATATATTTTTTCAAAGTGTGAAATTTCTTTTTAGTTGCTAAAGGATATTATTTTTATTAAGTGATATAGATAGTTTAAATTTATATGTGGTTTTGACATTTTGAAGTTCTGTTCTTAAACAATATTTCTAAAATGTTACAGCTAAGTAGTTAAAGTAATATTAACAGTGGAGAATAATAGTTTACATTGTATATGTTTTTTCTTTTTTAAATTTAAATTCTTCAAAACCATTTTACATATTAACTAATGCTACAGTTTTTAAACTGTCTTCTTATACAGAGGCAGAGTGGAGAGAGCTGAAAGAGAGAAGGGAAAGCCAAATAAGCCTCCGTGCCCCTATGTCTTGCTTCAATCTTGGCAGCTCTACTTTGATTTCTTATGTATATATTGAGATTTTTGAGTAAATATTTCTTTGCAAAATGCTTCTTATGTCAAACACAATTAAAAGCACTAATATAATTTATTTTCTAGACAAGCGTTAAAGCAGTTATTATCAACCTGTTTTACATATAAGGAATGTAAATACCCAAAAGCTTGTTATTTTCAAATTTCACATGGTTAGTTACTAATAATGTTCAAAGTGAGGCCACAGTCATTTATCTTAATGCTTTTTTCACCCTCAAGATCATATAATTAAAATAAAATCTTCCTTTTTTGGAAAAATAATTTTTTATTTTAAAAAATATATTTAACTTGACTCAACCAAATATTATATGTCAAAAATATTTTTCCATTGGCTTCCAGTATAATATCAAATAATTTTTCAGGAATGAGTTGAGGTCTAGCCTCTATTAAAGTCCAATAGTGTCTTTGGACAGCCTTTGTCATTTAATTTCTCTATACAAACCCAGCATATTGATCAAATAAACTATCAATATGTATAAACTTTGAACATGTAATTTTAAATATTCATATGTTACAATACATTTTATATTTAAACTCTAATCCATTAGGGAGTTTAAGCTTTCTCCTTGGAACTTTAATGTTTAAGCAATATCACCTAAGTCATATTCAACAAGAGTGTTTGTTAGAATTATATTGAACATCTTGTTCCAGATGTTGCTGTAACTTTGAATAATGAATAAGTATAATTGAATCTAGGAGGCATTTTGAAATTTATTTCTAATGGATGAACAGCAGGTGTACAGGGTATCAGTTATACTTTATAGCCTCATTCCTAGCAAGAATCCTTTGTTTTTCTTTTTGTCCTACTTGTAATTTATACCAGCTAGGTATATTTTGTGTATTCTTGTAAGCATTCTTATATTCTTTTAAGAACTATTCAGCATGTACATATATCAAATAGAGAGTATTTAATATGTTGTGTAATATAAATTTATTTTTTAGTAAATTAAATATTTTCTCTCTTAGGAAATTGTTTCTGGCATTTTGGCTTACTGTTGAAACTAGGCTTTTTGCTGTTATTCATATGTTTTTTGGCATATTCTCAGGTTTGTACAATCCTTTCAGTTTATATTTTTTAATATTTCATTTTAAAGTTCAAATCTATTAAAGCATGTGAGAAGAGTCAGAGCTTTTTTTTAGCTTCATTTTTTAATGACTGTAATAAAAATGTCACTCTGTAGTTGACTACTCAGTGTAGTTCTTTTGAGATATATATACTTTGTTACCACTGTTTTTGTTGTAAGAGCAATTTAAAGCTCTTCCTTTGGCAGTTGTTCAAGATCCATTTTACTTGACTTTGATCAATCAAACATTTATTGAATGCTTCTTGTAAGACACTAGTCTAAGCGGAGATCAAAATTTTCTTGACAGAATTTGCAGCTAGTTTGTGTATTATTCATTGCATCAGAGTATTACTTGATTTTTCCATAACTACATACGGTAACATTTTAGCAGTTAGTAAAACCAACTTAGGAGCAAAGAGGTTTACGTATATATAGTATGTTTAATTAAATAAAACTTTTGGTCATTTTTTTTAGCTCTAACCTTGTATTTTTCTATTCTGATGGTTGAGATATTCTGTTATTTTAACAGGATGGCAGTCTGCTACCTGCTGGTTAAACCCATCAGGGAGATGTATTATTTGGGCAGCATGATATTTATAACAACACATTTTAATTTGAATGCCTATAGTTGTGTCATATTCTGCAGTGTACTCACATCTCCAACACTCTGTTTTGTACCTGGCTGTGTCAGGTGGAAGGAAGTGCCCTATAGGCATTTTGTGTGTATGTATAATCCTATGCTGTTTGGGTTTTTTTTTTCTTTTCTTTTTGTAGACTTTTATATTTGTTTTTATACTTAGAGGTCTTTAAAGCTCTGTTATTTCTGCCTGACACTCAAACTTTTTTATAGAAGATAAATAAGGAAACAACTAACAAATGTATAAAGAAATAGCCAGGTTACGGCAACAACTTCTTGACAGTTATTCATTAAAATTCTCAACACTCTGTGGATACTGCTGAGGGAAAGAAAGAAAAGCTGACTAGAGATTCAATATAGGGATTAAGAATGTTTCCCTAGCTTTGGGTCAGTGTTGACCACTGGACGAGAACAAAAAGCCCACTGTCTTTCACAAAATAGTGCTTAATAAATACTTGTTTATTGATCACATAATAAGAAATTAGAGATAAAATTTTAAATTGTATATACATCATATATATTCATAGGTATGTTACATGTGTATGATCCATAAGATCATATATTTTATCTAAGAGGTATGTACCTAGTGTATATCTATATTCATGTTTATATATATATACACACACACACGTATATATGATCTATAAGCACTTCAGACTTCAGATTGCCACTCTTGGTAAAAATCACCCCTGGCTGGGCACAGTGGCCCACGCCTGTAATCCCAGCACTTTGGGAGGCTGAGACGGGTGGATCACGAGGTCAGGAGATCGAGACCATCCTGGCTAACACGGTGAAACCCCGTCTCTACTAAAATACAAAAAAAATTAACCGGGAGTGGTGGCGGGCACCTGTAGTCCCAGCTACTCGGGAGGCTGAGGCAGGAGAATGGCGTGAACCCGGGAGGTGGAGCTTGCAGTGAGCCAAGATCACGCCACTGCACTCCAGCCTGGGCAACAGAGCGAGACTCCATCTCAAAAAAAAAAAAAAAAAATCCTTAATTTTCTGAGACATAGATTTTGATAGAACTTATTTTTAATATGGTATGTGCATTTTAAATTCTGTGGCTAAATGGAGACGGTTGCATTTTATTAAAATAATATTATAAAGTTCTTCTGACCTAAAGACTCAACATTATCTAAAATACAATATTATTTTCATCTTTTTTCTTTGTTTTTTAATAGCCTCTTTAAAAATCATGATGTTACACTTTTTATGCCGTAGCATTAGGTCTAATAATGGAGCTTTCCTTGATAGAGAGTTCATTGTGATTATTCTGAAAATTGAGGGTTTTGTTCTCTTCTTTGAAAGACTTCGTTAATGTTCAGGAATGTACCCAAGACTTCTGCCCCTTCATTCCCCGATTTTCCAACCTGTCAGATTCATAAGAGGGTACTATTCACTAACTTTACCAGAGTAAAACTGTAAACTTTGTTTCAAAGGCTGGTAATGGCATTTGGGTATGGTTGATTGAGTAAGGTGACTAATTCAGAGGACTCTTTTAACTCAAATAGTTAATTATAGATTATTGAGGACATTTGGAGAATGATAACTATATTTTAACTTTAACAGTTGTTATTTGGGATATTGATACCATATTGGCTGAAATATTTTGTATTTTTCTGTTTGATTAGTAAATACTATCATTTTGTTTGTGAGATTAAAAACCTTATATAGAATGATTTTCTAATTACCAGGTTTTCTGATTTGGGGGCTTAAGAAAATTTTACGCTCTCAGTAGCCTTTCATGTGAAATGAAAATAAGTTTACCAAGTTTTAAGTCATCTTTCTTGGTCATTGAAAGATAAATTTATTTTCAAATTTTAAAAATTTCATTTGAAATACATTTCAAATGAAGTGTTACTTTCAAATGAAATAAAACAAAATTTTAACATTGTGAATTACTCTTATGTAATCCAAACTTTAGAAAACTATAATTTATAATAGAATTGCAAAGCAAATATTGACTTGTACCATCTTAATTTATTTTCTGGATTCCTTTTCTCAGGGTGCATTTGAGAAGATCTTTTCTCTTTGGCCATTGTCCAAGTGTTTTGAACTGAAAGGGAATGTATATGAATGGTGGTTCAGATGGAGGTTAGACCGTTATGTATGTATTTACTTTGTGATATTTTGTCATTTCAAATCATACTGTTGGAAAATGATGTGGAAATTTTTGATCTATCTATACTTAGTTTCAGAATAAAGAAAGATGTTGATTTAGTAAATCAAAACAGTCCACTACCCCTTGCACTCGTTTCTTCACAGCAGTGAAAGAGTATGCATGTGTATATATATCTGCTGGGAAATATTATTTTAAAATGTTATCTATAATGTGGCCTGTCTGACTTATAATTTTGATTTGTAGGTGACCTATTGTATATATGCTTCAGCCATTCAAAACAATATTTATTGAGTTTCAATACGTGCCCTAGATGTTGATGCCATGAAGTATACATTAGAGAAAGAAAGAAGACATCCCAACAGGCTTCTAAGCTTTAAGAGTCTAGTTTAGGCCGGGCACGGTGGCTCAAACCTGTAATCCCAGCACTTTGGGAGGCCAAGGCGGGTGGATCACGAGGTCAGGAGATCGAGACCATCCTGGCTAACACGGTGAAACCCCGTCTTTACTAAAAATACAAAAAAACTAGCCGGGCGAGGTAGCGGGTGCCTGTAGTCCCAGCTACTCGGGAGGCTGAGGCAGGAGAATGGCGTAAACCCGGGAGGTGGAGCTTCCAGTGAGCCGAGATCTGACCACTGCACTCCAGCCTGGGCGACAGAGCGAGACTCCATCTCAAAAAAAAAAAAAAAAAAAAAAAGAATCTAGTTTAAAACCCAAGATTACTATTATAAGAGGATACTAAACTATGCAATATAGATTTTGTGGTAGAAGTGTGCAAAGAAGAAAGAGCGATGTCTTGTATTAGTCTATGAACTTGATCTTGAAGAAGGTTTAAGGTTTAATTGGCCAAGAAAATGTACATCTAGCACAGCATTTGGAAAACAGATACTAAATAACTATTAATTACTTAATTCTTTTCTTTTTTCCTTTCATTTTTGACTCATCTCTTTTTTCCAACAAATGTTTTCTTAGTGCTTATTCTTTGCCTTTCCTAGTTTCCAACACCTATGCACTTTTCCAGTGTACTACATTGCATCTCAAAACCACATCTGAATAAAATGTTTGCTAAAGTCTCTACATCAAATAATTCTTAAATTTACTCAATATTCTCATTAGAGCAGTGTATTATGATATGACTGTCCCAGTCTATTTAGGCTGCTGTAGTAGAGTACCATAGATGTGTGGTTTATAAACAACAAAAATTTATTTCTTACAGTTTTGGAAGCTGGGAAGTGTAAAATCACACCAGCAGATTTGGTCTGGTGAAGGCCCACTTGCTCTTTCATAGACACTCGACTTCTCACTCTGTCCTCACGTGCTGCAAGGGGCAAGGATGCTCTCTGGGGTCTTTTTTTTTAAAGAGCATGAATCCCATTCATGAAGGCTCTGACCTAATGACCAACCAAAGGCTTTACCTCCAAAACTATCACACTGGGGATTAACATGATTCAACTTACGATTTTGAGTGGAAGGAAATGTTCAGTCTGTTGCAATGACAGTTCACATTAAGTCTTTGTTTAAAAAGAGAAAGCTCGTGTACTTTCTGTTCTACCATATTTTTTTCACTTTTTTGAGCATATACTTTTTTTCGAAATTATGACCTGGTGGTGTTATTCTTTGTTTTATTTGACTGAAAGGACTGATATAAAATGTGTTTCATCTTTGTTGGGTGCATTTAAATTTTATCATACGTCTGTAGGAGAGTTTCTTTCTATTTTTAAATTGTCTTTATTACTTCACTTACCACTGAGACGGCTCAGAATGAACCAGTGTTATCTCATATTGTTCCAAGAGATGCTTGCTTGTCTATTGCTGATGGTTTCTAACAAGCATCAGCTTTATTTCATTTCTTGAAGTTTCACTCTTGAAGTTGAAGTCCTTCATAGACACTTCAAACTTTAAGCTTTTAACCTACCTACTTTTATTCATATATTCCTCACTAACCAAATAGTTTTCCTGTTTTTTGAAAACTAACTGTTTAAAACAGATTTTCTGTCTTTACTTTTCAGGTAGTTTTCCATGGAATGCTGTTTGCTTTCATTTATCTGGCTTTGCAGAAGCGTCAAATACTTTCTGAAGGAAAGGGTGAACCTCTTTTTTCAAACAAAATTTCAAATTTTCTATTGTTTATTTCAGTAGTTTCTTTCTTGGTAAGTTTTGAAAACTTTCCAAAATCCTAAATGGTATGGAATATTAATGTTAAGATATGGAAATATAATCAGTTATTTTTAATAATAAATCTTTTATTGTTTTCTCCTTATTTTTCTTTTTAATATTTAGAAATTTTAATACTTCTCTTCCAGTAATTGATAGGATAGCTAGACAAATTTAGTAAAGCTATAGACTATCTTAAGGACATGATCAATTTGACCTGATGTTAGAATAGTTAGGTAAGCAATAACAGCAGAATACACATTTATCTCAAATGCATGCAAAATGTTTGCCAAAATAAACCATATTTTTATCTATAAAAATACTTTCAATAGTTTTTAAAAATTGTTTATTTTTAATTATGAATACATATTCATATTTATGGGGCGCATGTGATATTTTGATGCAAGCATGCAATGCATAATGATCAAATCAAGGTAATGTTAAATGCTTGAGGCGATGTATATCTCCTTATTTTTCTAACTGGACTTAAATTCTAAAGAGACTGTATATAAGTTAAAAATGAAGAATAAATGAGAACTCAATTAAATGGGAATTTTTAAAGTTACAGTAAATTTGGGAGAAAATTTAATGTAAAGTGTTTCATATGGAGTGCCATCACTGCCTTTTGATCACTATTTCCAGAAAAGCACAGACTTGTGCACCTCCCTCTGTGCTTTCTTATGTTTGGACAGTTGAACATACCAAAACAGGTGATGAGCAAACTTGTAAGCGGTTTTTACTGATAGTTATATAGCATAATGAAGTATAAAGTTATAAATGAAGAAAACTGTTAAAAAAAAAAAAAAAACACTGTGAGGCTTATGCCTCTTCCAGACTTGTTTTTGTGAACTTTTCCATACATTTTTTGTTTTAGACCTATTCCATCTGGGCTAGCAGTTGTAAAAACAAAGCTGAATGCAATGAACTCCATCCATCTGTTTCTGTGGTGCAGGTACTTATCTTGATTTAGAGAAATTTTTGCATCTTAATTCTTGATAAGAAAATGGTTTTTAGCGGCAGAGAGATTTGAGATTGAACTCCAGAAAATGTAGAGAAGTTACTTCATCTTTCTAAGCCCTTCCTTTCTCTGTAGTAGTAGGGGTATTAAAATCTCTTTCAAAGGGTTCTTGTATTTAATATGTGAAAATGATGTAGCTCAGTATTTTTCACTTAATCTGCCCTTAGAAAACGTTAATTCCCGGCCGGGCATGGTGGCTCACGCCTGTAATCCCAGCACTTTGGGAGGCTAAGGCTGGTGGATCACCTGAGGTTAGGAGTTTGAGACCAGCCTGGACAACATGGTGAAACCCTGTCTCTACTAAAAATACAAAAATTAACCAGGCATGGTGGTGGGCATCTGTAATCCCAGCTACTTGAAAGACTGAGGCAGGAGAATCACTTGAACCCAGAAGGCGGAGGTTGCAGTGATCCGAGATTGCATCATTGCACTCCAACCTGGGCAACGACCAAGACTCTGTCTCAAACAAACAAACAAACAAAAAAACCCAAGAAGTTAATACTACATGCTAGATATTATGCCAAGGGCTGCAGTGGTTACCAAATCAGACATAGTTCCTACTCTCTTGGAGCCTACATTCTTTTTAGTGTTGTACATCTTACACAATACTTTTATTATAATAAACTCATTAAATGGTTTTATGTTTAAAACCTTTGTTTAGGTCTTACCTTCATGATTTTCACCATTTTGTATATCACCTGTACTATTAATTATTTACAGTGTTTCTTTAAATGACTCACAACCTGTGCTATAATTAGTACCTTAAGTATGTTTTCTCATTTAATGTTCACATCAACCTTTCAAAGTAAAGCTTATCTCTATTTGTGTGAATTAAGAAAAAGACCCACAAGATTAAGTGCCTTGCCACAAGTCCCAGAACTAACACAAGCAAAAGACGAGATTTAACCTTGAGTCTTTTTGATGTTATTGCCCATGAGAATCACTCAATTATACCTGAGTGGTTCACTTTGGTTCCTTTTCCCCATATTATCTCCTCCTTCTTCATCTTTTATGCATCCTAGAGACTTCTTAGATCCTTTGACAAAATGCCGAAGATGATCAACATTGAATATGAGTTTTTCCCTGAAGTGTGAACAGATTTGTCAATCCTTTTATAAGAGAAAGTTTCTGGAAAGTAGTAGTGAAAGTGGAGATTCTTTTTTTCTTTATAGTTTCTTGCTTTTTTATAAGGAGGGTGGATTCTAAGGAAAGGATTCTTTGCTTGGTAAGCTGGTTATTGGATGTGAGACAATTGGATGGCACATGTGTGGATATGTAACAAACCTGCACGTTGTGCACATGTACCCTAGAACTTAAAGTATAATAAAAAATAGTAATAAGAAGAAAAGAAAATGCAAGATTGTTCCACCGAAAATGAAAGATTGTTCCACCTGGTACAGAAGGATAGGGGAGAGGAGTAAAGGCCAGGATCTCAAAAGCTGGAGATTCTTTCGGGAGAGAAAAGATCTAGAGAGGAAAATATTGTACATGTGAATATAGTTCAAGACATCATTTACGAGGCCATGCAGAGCAAACATGAAGACATGTTAAAAGCCATGCCATTTCCCATACTATCATGGCTGTCAGCCAAAGGAGAATTTTGAAGGGAGTCGAGAGAGGGAGTGACTGTCAACCAAGCAGATACTTTATGAGAGCAGCAAAATTATATGATTTTGTGAAGTGTTGCTACATAAATATGATAGCAACTTTTTCTACACAAAGGGCCCTAGGCAAATTTGTAATTTTTTCAGTATACATAAAATTGTTCAGTCATGAACTACTAAAAATGTTCATTGGTATGCAGCATACAGACCATGTGTTGAGAAATCCAGTTTGAGTAGGCTCTAGAACAAAAATAACTTTCTAATACTTTTAGAATATAAAAAGACCATTGTATATGTGTCAAGTTCACAAAGAATAAGGTTATCATTTAAAAGAAAGCTTTATACAAAATAATTTTCAATAAAGAGATTATTAATATTTGCCTTTGTGCTTTTTCTTTAGATTTTAGCCTTCATCCTAATAAGGAACATCCCTGGATATGCCCGTTCAGTTTACAGTTCATTTTTTGCTTGGTTTGGAAAAATTTCATTAGAGGTTGGTACATTAATATTTTGCTTATCTTACACAGCCAGGTGTTACATGTTTGTGTATGTACATGTGTATGTGTGTAAATATCACACATATATATGTGAGTATGAAAATCAGACATACTTTTTTCTAAACCAAAGCTATTATGGAATTACAAGGAAAAGACTTAGAACTTTCAACAATACTGAAGTATTTTTGAATGTTTTTAAGCCTTATTTTTAAATGACTAGATATAGATTACTTGCAAAGTATTATTTATGTTGTCTTGAGCTTTCAAGCACAACCAAGATGCTGAGATCAAGAGAGAAAAATGTTAGACCAGGTATATACATGAAATCAAGCTGAGGGGATTTTGATTTTTTGTTCATCTCCGTAATTAAATATATTACTGGAATTCAGTTTATTGATGCACACCATAATAAAATGTATCCTTATTATGATTGGAAATCGTGGGAGAAAGTATAAACTCATTACATTTTGTGTAAGATGCATTATATGAAATTATTTACAAAATCAGTTTGAACAGTAGGTTTTGAAATGTATTCTGAGTAGTCCAAGCCTTATTATTTCAAATAGAATGTTTTAAAACAATTTATATTGTAATCATAACATATATTTTAGAGTTTTTAGAGTATAAGATTTATTAAATTGTCTCATAAATAGGGAAAATAAATTCCTCTTTGAGTTCTTGAATAATTGTTCTATTATTTTCTTTGGTCTCATTTATAAGAGAGATTGTATTAGCAGTTGGAGTTCTAAGGAGTAGACTGCAGTGGACTTTTCAGGGCCAATAGTGAGACAGAATAAAATGGTTTTAGGAAAGCCTTCTAATGTTACTATGCGATCAAATGTTTAAATTAGGAAAAACTATAATTTATTCATGGACCCTCTATAAATATCTGACTTAAATATTTTTTCTCCTAGCTGTTTATTTGCCAGTATCACATATGGCTGGCAGCGGACACAAGGGGTATCTTGGTACTGATACCTGGAAACCCTATGCTCAACATCATTGTCAGCACTTTCATATTTGTTTGTGTGGCACATGAAATTTCTCAGATCACTAATGATCTTGCACAGATTATTATTCCTAAAGATAACTCATCTCTCTTAAAAAGGTTGGCATGTATAGCTGCATTTTTTTGTGGACTCCTCATCTTATCATCCATTCAAGATAAATCAAAACATTAGGTTCCAAAAATTCTAAAAAACCTAAACTCTTCAGGCTTACTTTGTGTGTCTCTAGAAGAGAAAAGCATCTATCTGGAGATATAAATGTATATGTAAATATAAACGTTTGTGGCAAGAGGACAGTTCTGTGATATCTGTTGAACATGTGTGGTTGTATATATTAGAAATGTACATATCCAATGTGAAATACTAAACAAACAAAAAACCGGAATGCATTGTATAGAACTGCATGTGAAGTCTTTTCTACTGAATCTATATTTCCATTTGTAAATGATTTTAAGTTAACATATGAAGGCAGGGAAATGATTACCTTTCCAGTAAAGAATATAGATAATTTAATTAACTTAGTGACACCACCGAGTGTTTTGATATAACTAAATTTGTGGTAATAAGACTGTCTGCACCTATATTCATTGTGGAACTTCCTATTTCATTGGAAACTTTCTTACTCAAGAATGACGGCAGTATTGTTTTCTTATATGTGCAATGAAGTGGAATGATAAACAGTATGCCTTTAATTTATATGTGTTCTTGTTCTGATATTATGTTTTCTGAAATGATTTTTCTTCCTAACTGTGGTTTTCAGGTATGCAAGCCGAAATCTTTGTACACTTTGTCTCACAGAATAGTTCTGAGGCTCTAGTACAGGGTTTTGTCATTGTTGATGTTATTGTTGCTTCTTTTTATAAAAAGCCAAAATTTTTTTTCCAATCCAAACGTTCACCTGTTTCCTTTCCTCAAGCTATACCAGTGTAATACCAGTTACCCTGTGGATCCATTTAATATGTTATCCCCACTAATTAATTTTCGTATATTATTTCCAATATTTGGAAAACTCTTTATAACCATTTGGTATTTCCTATTACCCACCTCCTGTTTTACATATTTATCAGTCTAAACTTGTACAGTGTAGTAAACATGCAAGTTGTTATGATTGGGCTGTATTACCGTAAGTAGAATTTTAAGTAAACTGGTGAATTTGGTCAATAAATGTTTTTGCTTTTTTTTTTTTTTTTCTTTTTACAGGCTGTTAGAGGTATATATTTATTTATCTGTTGTACAGATTTGATTATGATTTTAATGTTTGAAAGATTGCACTTGTTTGCTTTTACTATGTGTGGGGTAAAATATATTTTCTGTTCACAGTATATGAAAATATGGAGTAATTTAAACAGTAAATAAACATTCTGTGGATGCTTATTTTTGTATTGGCAAAGTATCAATTAAACTCTTTGTGTTCTTTTTCAAAAATGCTGGATCCATTAATGATTGGTTCAAATATCTAATTTATTTCCTCAACTTAAATTTGCTTTTTAAATTGCTTAGTATGTAGGGGTAGATTACCAAATGATAGTTGAATAAAGAATCATTTAGTTATCAGAGCTTCAGAGGGTCATCTGCTTTCCACCAAGGAAGTTTAAGCATTATGGTTCATTAGTGATTTTGCTTGAAGATTTTAAAAATGTAATTTATTTAGCACTGGATTTATGTGCTACTGATATACCTCCATTAATTGAGGAATATTTCTTGGACAGAAATGTGTGTTCTTTCCTTTTCTCCCTTCTTTTGCCCTTACTTAATCTTTTGACATTTCCCAGATAGACAATTGTAATGATTCATTGCTCTGCCTCCTAGACTGCAGCCTTATAAGTAGAGAATAGTATAGTTATAAATCAAAAACTTCCAAGTACTGTGATCACATTATTCTTGTTCATGTAGCTTGCCAATGAGTACAGTGCATTTTAATTTAGCTTGTAAGTTTTATCACCTGAAAAGGTTCTTCTTGATGAAACAATTGAAAAAGAAAGATGACCAGTCTCCCTGTGTATTTTTGGAAGCACTTACATCTTCAGTAGTGATGCCCAAGTGAATATATGCTTTTCTCTCCTATTTGAACTCAAGCCTAAAACTTACCTGGTGAGCCCTGTTTCTTCATCACATGTTCTTATTTAATATAAAGCACTATTTTTTACATATAATTATATATATAATAATTTGTATAATTTAAAAATGTATTTGTAGTTACAAATGTATTTTATATTTGATTTTCTTAATTAGTCTTGAAAGGTTATTGTGGAAGTTGCCACAATGTAGCACCTGCATATATGGTAAATGTCTTAATATTTTATTTTCTGCATCAACTCAGGTACTGACCAGTTGCATTACTCAGTCATACCATTCTTCAGAATAAGATTTTCAACAGGATGTTTAGATATGCTAAAGTTGAGATAAAACCACAGAGGTTCTCTAAATTCAGATTTTCTATAATAGAAATCACAGTCAGAAATCTGCCATCTGGCTTTAAAAGGTAATTGCTTGACTGAATTCCATGTCAAATCGTTCGTCCTTTCCTTTGCCAAAACTTCCCATTTTTGTGCATAACCAATAGGAGCATTAAAAATTCAGCCCACATAAATTAATAATGTTTTACAAGGATGTGAAACCCAAGTTCATTCATTATTCTATTCTCAAATGACTTTATACTAAAACCTTAAAAAGAGAATGCATCCTGGATATAGTCATTGATATCATAAACTGGATGTGTTCCATGGCTTACATTGCAGACAATTCAGTGTTTTGCGTGATGAATTGGATATACCACATGGGAGTCTGCTGTATGACAGGAGATTAGGTAGTATTGTACTTAGAGATTTTTGGAACAGTTGAAAGAAATTCAATTCTTCACATCATTCAAGAGAGAAATTACCTTTTTAGCTTAATAGTGGAGACTGAAATAAAGATTGCCAGTTTTGGTTGGCAATTCAATCCATCTTACCGCTTTGAATATTTCTCTGCAAAGACATTCAAAAATGATTGCGTACATTTATGACTTAATTTGTTCATTCTTAGAATAATTGTGATTTGGGGAAACTTACTTGGCAAGGTGAATTCTGACTCATTTTCTTATACTAAAAATGGTTTCCAGAAAAGGAAGTGGTGGTCCAAACTATGTTCCCAAAATTGTGGTGCTTGATGACTGATTTCCAGAGTAGATTTCTGATTTTATTTAATTAATTAATTTTTTGAGACAGAGTCTTACTCTGTCACCCAGGCTGGAGTGCAGTGGCACGATCTTGGCTCACTGCAACCTCCGCCTCCTGGGTTCAGGCAATTCTCCTGCCTCAGCCTCCTGAGTAGCTGGGATTACAGGTGCCTGCCACCATACCTGGCTAATTTTTGTATTTTTAGTAGAAATGGGGTTTCACCATGTTGGTCAAGCTGGTCTCGAATTCCTGGCCTCAAGTGATCCACCCACCTCAGCCTCCCAAAGTGCTGGGATTACAGGCATGAGCCACTATATCTGGCCTGAGTTTCTGATTTTAAATCTTACAAAAATTTAATGGCACTATTTGTTCTGCCTTTCCATATTAATAGTCATAGTAGAAACAAGGAGACACAAATGGAAGCTATTTAACTGCCATTCAGTATGGTACCAGAACCTAAATATAACAATATTGGAATACCCAAATTCTGTATATATGTCTATATATATGTATGTGTGTATATATATGTATATATATGGAATAATTTCTTTAAAAATTATGCAAATATTTATGTTCAAAAGTAACCATTATGAACAATTTGGGGGGAATATGAAATTGAATAAAATACTCTTTGTTTTTCAAGGACTTAGCAGTAAAATTGTCCCGAACATCTGACATTTTACATCTTAGTAAAAAAGTATTAAAATTGTTTTGCTTTTGTTTTGTTTTGTTTTGAGAGGGAGTCTCGCTCTGTTACCCAGGCTGGAGTGCAATGGCGTGATCTCGGCTCACTGCGTCCTTTGCCTCCCAGGTTCAAGCAATTCTCCTGCC